TGGTACAATTATCATATATGATCAATGATCATATATGTACAAATGATCAATTACACGTGTACAACTGTAGCATAAGTATGCATGATTATCAGATAGACTCATAGACTCATTGGACATAAATTTCTTCTCGGTTCTACTCTCAATCCTTGAAGCCACCCCTTGCCCTTGCCGGGGCGCCAGAAGCGCAAGGGCGCCAGAGCGCGGTGGCACAACGAGTGGGAGAGACCCAACTCCTCCAGTTGGGTAGTGGGAAATCCAGCCTTCTCTGGGTGTCCTTCGGTAATCATTGAAAACACTTAAAACCATTGAAAACTTCCATGTCAAGGGGATTTCTATGGATTTCCCCATGGCCATATTTCGATACCATGCCGGGTTCCGATGAGTTTCCGATGAGTTTCCGGTCCTCTGGAGGTGCAAAGCAAGAGCAGAGAACTCCATCCACCAGCAAAGTGCTGCAGAGAGTCAGCGGTGCGAAAACGCCTCCCCCAGCGGTGCCAAAAAACGAGCGGCTGAAAATCGCTTGGTGCTTGGTGGTTGGTTGGTGGTTGGTTGGTTGGTTCATGCTCGGTTGATAGTTGATATAGATTGATATAGTTGAGCCACCCTGACATACACGGAGAATACAGAGAGATACGGAGATATGGATTGATAAGGATAGAAAATATCTGGCTGCAACCCCCAGACCCCCCAACACACCTGACTCCACTTCCACAGAAACACTGAGCACCACAGCAACCTCTGCCGCATGCTGCAACAGATCGCCCGGCCTCCAGGGAGGGCCAACCAGGCCAATCCGAGTGAAGCTGTCTGAGTACCACTGATTCCTACAGACTTGGCCTCTGTTGTGCTATTGTGCTAGGCTATACATGTCAAGAAAGAATGCCAGCATGTATCCGGGTAAATTGTAATAATTCACCAACCAAATTAGTTCAGCCGTTTTCGGATAGTTGCCCGAATCCTAACCATCATTTACCTCGTGATGTCCAGGTCGTGATCAGATTTTACGAGATCATGTCCCCATTGTATCTCCATTTCACTTTCTAGTATCCCAATTAGATCACTTTTAATTTAATTATATAAATCCCATGATAAATCCACATTTATAAACTTTATAAGATTTTATAAGCATCTTGGCACATGACATCATCGAATCCCCATGAAATCCCCAGTGAATCCCCATGAAATCCCACCCATCCCACGCCTGACATCTGCTGCAGGTGCCTGAAAACGGACGTCGCGGTAACCATTAACCAGTCATAACCCTCATTAACCATTAACCATTAGGGTTATTAATGGTTATTAATGCTTCTTAATTAATGGTTATTAATGGTTCTGAATGGTAATTAATGGTAATTAATGGTAATCAACACCAATGGTTACTAATGGCTATTAATTAATGGTATTAGTAGATATTAGTAGGATGTTAATAGCACAATCAACAGTCTGAGAATACCTGATTTTTGGATGAACGACGACGAATGTATATATATATATATTATATGTGACAGTAGTCTTTCAACCCTTTGGCAGCGTCCGTGTTTGTAGGGATAGTACTTAATTTTGATCCACAGCCGAACAGTGATCATAATCTCACTGACGTCGAAGAAAATTGCTGAAGCCGGCCAATACACACATTTAGCAATGGTCCAGCCTCATCAAAAATGGAGGATGGCATGTCAGATGTGGTATGCCGGTATGCCCCACATGGCCCGCTGGACATTCCCAGAGCTTGAGGATTTTCCCACAAAAAAAACTCAATTTAGAGTGGATGTTCCCATGAAAACCTCCATGTATAGATGATTTTCCCATCTGTTTGCATTAGAACCTCCATGTTTGATTACTGAGAGGTAATCCTTGGCACAGAATTCCCAAGCCAGGTGCCCCGGCCCATCGCCAGCTCCCATCAGCCCCTGCGACAGAAACGTGTTAGATATCAGGGTGGTTGTTGCTAACACATTACTGGATATTACTGGGGAAGCTGGAAAAGGGATGGGTGTCTACACTGTCTACACCTCGCCCGTGGATTTTTTGGCTGGTAACTTTTCTGTCTTTTGCAGGAGTCTTTGCCTTTTGCTTTGGATTTAGAAAAGTGCCGGCTGTTCCCGGGTCCTTTTTAAGCTATCCCCAAAAAAGATTTTGGGGAAGAAAACTAGAAAGAGAGCGAGAAAGAAAAGCAGACAAGGAGCACAAATAGCATGATGACTCTAATGGGATAAATCCCCTGATCAGATGTCCGTTCCGGGGGCCCAAGTCCATTCCGTGACATCCAGAAAACAAGTTGGCCAGGTCTATTTCATTTTATCAAATTGCTAAAGAAATTATCTAGAAAAGGATTGGGCCAAAACGTACGTTCCAGAACGTGCCTTCCGGCCCGTGCGTTCTAAACGCCCGCTCGATCTATGCTTGTGTGCTTTCATTACAGAAGCTGAGACTGCTGAGATATGAGAGATATTGAGATATGAGGGCTGATAAACATGGGGATATATTTACCTATCTATGTTTATCTCTTTACGGTAGTGAGCTAGTAGAAATAGGGATATGCTTTCACAGCTTGCATGCTGAATCTTGAGGAGGATAGGAGTGTTGGGCTGGGAAATACCTAGCACCCTTTGAAAAGGGTCGTTGCATGATGATCCCACATTCTGAGTGAAACCAACTGTCATGATCTTGGCACCACAGATACATCAGATATTGATCAGTGAATGAGTTGAATGATCATGTTGATGTTCCATTAACATACATTATAACTATATAGTTGTCTAAATGTTTTTAATCTGGAATTTACATGAAGCATAGGTCGAAAGATCTTCCCTCGCCTGGCTGGCACAGGTAGAGCAAATGATTTGAAGAGACAGCCTGGCGCTGGCGCTGGACACTGGATAACCTGGGATGTCGTAGGGACCTTTCTGGTGCTCTGAAAAAATCCTAAATCATAGAATCGAGGTTTCCAAAAATAGAGGTAATCTTAGTTGTCATCCATGTTTGGGATTTTCCATAAACCATCCATTTTTGGGTAGCATTTTTGGCTAGGAAATGGCTGAAAACTTATTTTTGAAACGGGCAAAAATCACACACGACGTCTAGAAAAACACGTACATAAGCCGTACATCAACCATTAAGACACCATATACATACATTACATTACATTACATTACACTACACTACACTACACTACATTACATTACATACATCCATCCATCCATACATACATACATATGTATACATATATATATAATTATCTAGATATACACATATCAAAACATATATATAAAACCGTCAATCCCACGGTCCCCAGGGGGTCCCGGCCAGGCTGCCACGGTCATGCTGGATCCTGAGGTAGGTCCTAAGGCGCGCCAAAAAATGGGCTGTGGTCATCCCTATACTCATGGGAATCTCATGAATAATGGTGATTAATGGTTAATGTTAGTCAATATTGATCAATATATATTATATGATGAATAATGATTAATAATATGATAAACCATGATTAATAATAATGATTAATAATGATGAATCATGATTAATCATGATTAATCATGATCAATAATTGTCAATAATGGCTTCTGATTCAAGGAGTTTCCCTCTGGTACATGCCTAGCTGAAAAAATCCCGAACTGAATGGAGGTCTATAGGTGGGAAAATCATTGAACCATAGCTGGAAAAAAATCCAGCCATGTGACTGATTACCAGAGGGGCCCCATGAAAATGACCATGATATGACCATGTTATGGATCCATTGTATCAACCTTCCCATGAAAAATGATTCCCATGATATGACCATAGCCTATGATGTGTTGATCCATCCATTCTCATAGGCGTTTCGGATTCCCATTCCACAAAAGATGCACATCCTGGACCATCGACCAGCACACTGCCCGCCAAGCAACATCTTTGTACCTGGCCGTGCCGAAAAAATCAAAGTCCCAAAGTCCCCATCCCGCCCATCCCCCCAAAACAGGGCCCCCCAACCCCCCAAATCAATAGCTCCAATATTGAATGATGGTTTCTAGTTTCTAGATGTTTCTAGAGATTCTATAGGCATATCTAATATGTTGATATATTTGGGGGGAAGTGATCAATAAGAACCACGCCAAAAAATGGTGATTGTCAGATCTGTTACAATAAATTTACCACATTTACCACGATCTAAGCATATCTATGCATCAGTTTCACCAATGTTTCAACCGAAATCTCCAGCCCTGCTCTTGGGCCACCTGGAGATCGATGTAACATAGCAATGACGGGGGAGAAATCTCCCTGTGCACCTCACCGGAAAGCGAACCCAGAAAGGCGCCCAGCGGTTTTGTGAGTCCCCACAAAAATGGCTGGCATTTCAGCGAAGATATTCTGAAAACATACAGATTCATCAGATTCTGAAAATATTCTTAGGGATAACATGGGATAACTTCAAGTGGGCTCTCTGGCGCATCCCTGTCTCCAAAGAGCTTACGTATCAATCTCCTTATTCGGCAGCATCATGTGATGAAAAAAAAGAACCCATCCTGAGTTTCCCAGACATTCCAACTCGTCTCCAAGCCTACACAGAGGCCAGGTGGGGATTCAGCCAAAATGTATGAAAAAGGCCAAATGCTGATTTATTTGTATCTGCACTGTATAGTATTATTCCATAGTATTCCTTCAAATTGAATTCCGTAAGCCCATGACACCCCGGAACTCAGCTGCTGGGTCCACTGTTCGACTTCCGGCTCGCGCAAATAATCAGTTTTGGCTTCGAGAAATCCAGGGTTTTGCTTCAATTTGGCTTGATAATCTTGATATCCAGGGTATCTTATTGGTATTATATAGTATCCTTTAGTTTCAGTCTTGGTTCAAAATCATCAGTTCGAGCCGGTTTCATCTTTCTGTTACCTATGGCAACGGAACATCGCTCATCTATAGATCATTATCCCACTAAAAACCTCCATTTATAAGGATGTATCATACTTTCCTATTTAACTATATATAATTATATATATATTATTATATTGCATATATTGTATTATATATATATATGTGTGTTTTTCTACCGCAGTTGTGCGGGTTCCTCACCTCAAATCCTCCATGCGAATTGGGCCGTGGCGGCCCATGACCAAGGCTGAAGCTGGAAAGCAGCCGTTGTCATCACCTCCAGCGCAGGAAAATCACCTCCTGCAGGTTGTTAGTTGAAAAATTGCTGGAAAAAAAAGGCTCATCTTTCAAGTGGCCTCCTTGGTTGGACCTGGGAAGCCTGGGATTAAGGCTAGTTCAACATCACGAACACATACGAACACCAAAGACCATCAAAATTCCACAATTCACAAGTGAGGTGCTTGAGTAGGTTCCAAGCTAGAAGACGTTGGGAACATAAGATTTGGGATTTGGGATGGTCGCCAAGGGATATGAACATCTGCACATGTCACAGGAGTCGGAGATGTAGTGAAGATTCCGGTCGTATCAGAGACAGCGACCCCGCAATCTACCAGATAAACCTCAGAATCCTCAGAATAAACCGACTATCTATACGTACATCTGTTGATGTTTGAAAATTCTGTTTTTGCAGGTGCATGGGTTGCATTTATCGTCTGAATGATGCGCTTTGTTGTTTGTAATTCCCAAAATTCATGAATGTGCTGCTCATAGATCCTTTTTTGTTTGCCCGATTTTCCAACATGGTTTTGTCTGAAACTAGGGTACCAGATGGTACCAGTACCCCGAGAATTTTGATGCTGCAATTCCCAGCCCACCCCGCCATGCCGCGCCTATGTTGGAAGCAGCATCTCCCAAATTACTGGCCAAGGCGGTTGCTGCATCCCCCACCGCAGGTGCGGCAGACTGGCCATTGGCAAAGTGGATGGCCAACCGAAATAGTCAAACATGGAGCTTCTTCAATGGGAAAATCTGGGAAAATCATCTGTAAGTGCAGCTTTGAGTGGGAAATCCTCGAACGAAATGGTGCTCAGTTGGGAAAATCATTGCACTAAATGCGGGATTTTCCAGCCATGTGACTGATTCCCAGAGGGAAAAATATGGTAAAATGTGAAATTGAAATTTTGGGGCCTAGCATGGGCCCATCAGGAGTACAAGTAAGATCGGCTCAACATAGGCCAATAACGTTTCAACCTAAGGCGAATGGTGCGGTGCTGCAGTCATGAAAAACAGACTCGATATGCAGTAGTTATTCTGTCAAACTGCTTAGCAACAAAATAGGCCCATACACCAAAGCGAACACTTCCGGTGGCGGCGGTTGTCGTCGCCAAGCGACCAGAATATCATCCCATATCTACCCATGATATTCCCATTATATTCCCATACCCACAGTGCTACGTTGTATCCCCATAGCAACCTATCGTTAAACACAATCACCCATATCATCTTCAGTTGCTTGTACATCCCAATGTGTCCCCATTGAAAACCCATTATTGCCGGCATCTCCATCAAATGAAGATTAACCAACATTTCATAGCCAGTTTTACGGGTACCCTCTTAGTAATTCAACATAAATCTGGAAAATTTAGCATCTGTAGATTAGCTTCCTCGGAATGCCAAGTGTGTTTTCCATGTGTGCCATGGTCCAAGCAGGGTATCCGCGGCATGGACATCCCAACTTGATTTATATTGAACTTTATTGAACCCTACTGATGCGGGGATGACTATCCCCCTTTATGGAATAATAAACCTGTAACTTGACCATAGCACAAAAACTGATGGTGAATATCTAAACCACTGACCATGTTAAATCCCGAATTTTCCATCGGACCATATCTTCAATGTCTTGACCATGGCATGGTTTGACCCTATCTCTGCTGGAAGATATCCAGACCTGAGCACCACTCATCACCGCGTTGGCTGCACTCGAGGCAGCATCCTGCTATGATCCGACCAGTGAATCATGGCCATGTTCATTGAAATTGTATGGGGAAACAACGAGAATCTATGTGAGTCTGGAACGTCATGCCAATTATGATGCTATTAATGATATTATATGATATTATCATACATGGGAAAATATGGAGGATTCTATTACAGTACATATTATATATCTGGAAATTAAATGAAATGAATGCAATCTCAACGGGAAACGTGCTGATTATCTGGAAGTGCGGGTAGCACTTCCATGTCCAAATAGGCCCAATCAACTGAAGGTATGTGGTCTATATTGCGATACCGGACTGTCAAACGGTTATTTCACAAAAAAAAACACAGAAAAGCTGAACATTTGCCTCTATGGTTTATGCCCTTTATGATCTCTATGATCCGCTATGCTGTTTCTATGTGATCCTCATGAAATCCCAACTCCCGCGCCTGCAACATAGGTGCAGCAGCCTGGGCTCCACTCATGGCCGCCGAGGCACCGGCCTTGTAGGTAAAAACTTCCGGATTCCCCATGGTTTTTCCACATCTTTTTGTATGTTTACCTTAGGATAATAGTTGAAGTTATATAACTAGGAAACACTTGAAAAACCATTGAACAATCATTCAAAACCATTTAAACAAATACATTCAAAACCATTCAAAAACCAAGAAACTTGCGTTTTAGCTGGCAACAAACCTGGAATGAATCAATAAACATCTGGATAGCAACGGATAAGATAGCATGGGGTAGTATATATCAGCATGTTTTAGTCTCATAAGTTAAGCTTGAGAATAGTAGACTTTGTTCGCCTCAAGGATGCAAAATGACCAGAATAAATGCTAAACAAGGGCTCAACTGGGATTATACTACAACCTTGACCAAGCGAATAATTGAAATGGATTCTTTAGTGGGTTTATTTGCAGTATTGGATAACTTGCAAAAAACCTAGAGTGATGAAGCAACCAAACCCAAGGTTCACCCAAAGCCATCACAAACACATGTTTCATCTGTTTTATCAACGCCATTACCATGGTCAGATAAAATCAGCTCTAAAAACAAACAAAAAATAAAACAAACAGTTGTTGGTCTCTTAAAACCAGCGTTTTTTGCGGTTTCCCAACCACCCATCACCTATCCACACCATCAGTCACAGACACCTGCGCCGCGTCGCCCACCATCGGAGCTGCTGCTTCGGCGCCTGCAAAAAGAGCAACCAATGGATGACTGGACGAATGGTGCAGGGATGTTCACATATTTCTACACAACAAATATTGACATATATACAGTATGTATATATAAATATATTTCATACATATATAATATAAATATTACATATGTATAAATATGTGGATTGTGAAATGTGGTAACCAACCCCAAACTCAAATAGGTTAGTAATGATGACAGGGATAGTTTTTTCGTTTAACAGGATCCGTTCATGATTCAAACCTATGGTTGACTCGACAACGCCCATATCAATATCATGAGGATATAAAATGGCATAACAATGTATAACCAACTTCCTTATGTATCAACTTCCTTATGTATGCATGGACTTGATATATGTATGTATTCATACATGGTAACATCATCTTATATACATATATGACACAATGATCCATAATGATCCATAATGATCCATAATGATCCATAATGTGTAAAGGAATAGATACACTTAAATGATTTTTTTAATGACGGGTATTTGGATGTACGAGTATTTGGACCATACAAGTATGTAGAGCTCTTATGTTTTTCCCATCTCTATCCCCGCCTGACATCGCCGCCTCGCCCATGTCGTTGCCCACTTGGCCCACTTGGCCTGCACAAGACCCTCCAGTTAGGTGGGGTGGGATGGGGCGATGATAACGCTCACTCGACCTTGCACAAGCTTTGATGCTGCGCCCAAGATGATCTATATAATTATATTATGGTTTAGGGTGGGGCGGGGTAGGTGCATTTTGCAGCAATTTGCGAGGATTCTGTTGGACCTGTTTGTTCTAACAAGATTGCTGGGACTGTGCATGTTGCAGCAATTTGCTTGGATTCTGTTAGAAGACGACGATGATCATACCAATGATGTTGTTGATGATGATGATGATGATGATGATCATGATCTGTCGAACTCTTCAAGGCACGGGGCAAATGGTGGGAGTATTCTATGTATGCCCTCTGGCTATTTTCGTCACCCTGGGACCCATCCCCATATGGAAATCATACAGTCGTCATGGACCACTTAGGATTGAAACCCATGGTGACTTGGGGTACCCCCATTTTGGACACCTCCATATTAAATATTACCACCATGAAAAGATAAAAAAGTAAAATTCTGCCAAAATACTGCTGAATTACTGTTCTATCTTCCTTTGGTTTACTTTCAACTAGCATGATCTCCAATCCTTTGAGCCTTGACCGGATGAACATGAACTCATTATGATTGGTGATATAACCATTTAACCATATTTAACCATATTTAACCATATTTAACCACACCCTCCTTTTCGCGGTGCTTTCTGCTTCAATTCCTTAGAGTTTTCGGCTCCCCACACCGTGTGACCTGCATCGAAGAATGTGCGGAGCTGCTCTTGTCGATCCACCTCCAGAACCAGAGGGGCCTAAAGTGGAATCTACATGAATCTACAACGGTATCTACAACGGTATTTAGCCATTTTGTGTTGGATATGTATATATATATGTATATATATGTCGTTCTTGTCCCAAAATGTTTTGTTCGTTCTATTTCCGAAGCTGATCCTGATTCAATGGCTTGCATGTCCATAGTAGTAGAATGATTGTTGGTGGTATCCATGACGTATCCCATTTAAGCTTTGGAACTCACCGGCCGCAGCAGCGAATATGTCTCGATTAAATCATCGCTTTGGTGTTTGGTATGAGTAAAACTTGCCATACCCTTGAACGACCATTGTTTATCATTGTTTTCGGGTTTTGTCATCACCAAATAGACCAAAACCTGAGTGTCTAAAACCTTCTGTCATCAAAAAACAAATTAATATGGGTGAGTTCACCATCCCCAATCAACCAGGAGACTTAGCATTTCATCACCCCGGATGATGCGCCTTGGAAGGCCATATGGGCAAGTCCCTGCGACCGCATGCTTGGACTGCTTGGACCAGCGAAATATGGTGGCTTTATGTGGCTTTCCTGTAAAAAATAAAATTAAAAAAAACGAGTCTGGCAAACAACATTGCAGTGATTAATTTATATTAATTTCAGCAACGGACATGACGCTGATGCCTGGTAAAACGGGTAGTGAAACAGAGACATGGAACAAATATATATATATATATAGAAACATAATAAGTCGATATAAGCCATTGGTCTCTTCAACCAACATGTGTTGCAACGGGAGAGTCCTCCACAAAGTTATCCACTGGGGATCATCTTGGAACCAGCGCTGGGATGAAGCAAATACATCTGGTGGCCCATCTGACAAGTTCAAAAGATATACTATGTGTATCTATGTATATATATATATATGAGTATATATATATTATATTATATATTATATTATATATATGATTATATATGTATATACTCTGATCCTGATGTTTTTTACTTTTCTACTTGCCAACTTACCTGGTAGTCTTGGATACCTGGAAAGGGTTGCTTTCCCAGTCCGAGGTTGCTTTCCCAGTCTTTTGGTCATCCCAATTATACACAATTTATTTATACACCGATCATAGACCAAAACCATGTGTGGGATTATCCCTCTTGTAACCCAATGGGTTTCTGGTGGTTCCAGACAAATCAAATTTCACATATCTTTCAATATCTCTACCTAGAATGATTGTGGTGTAGTTCAAATGAGAAAGGGTCAGATACAAAAGGGCCCACACTACATTTGGAATAATGCTTCGAACATAAACGCACCCTCAAAAATGATTGGGTCTTCAGTGTGTTTTTTTGTTTTGGACACTGCACCAAAGATATTCATTGGTTGTCTCCCCATTTATGACGCTAGAATCCATGAAATGTTGATTAACTCCCTATTTATATAACACATTTTACGGATGCCTTACATACAGTAGGGTTGTGAAATGGCTTTGTCCAAAAAAAACTCATGTTAATGCGCGGATACTCTCTCCAGAAAATCTTACAGTAATTAATATAGATTAAGACTATCTTGGAGAATATGATGATTGACATTTGGGGGTATTATAACCCACTCCTGGACCTTCCCACATCTCTGCCAGCCCCGGGACCCTGCGCTGCGCAGCCCGTGCCGAACAAATGGCGCTCCCTCCAGAATCTCAGGCGATTTCAATGGCGGCATGGCGTAACTCCGCTGATCTCTGTGGATTTCTACCGGATTTGTTTTTTGAAAACACATTTAAATTCGAAGCACCACATGTAAAATGATGTAGGAACAGCACCCATTGCTTCACTGTTTTTTCGGGTCACCTTCATTGAGACAAAATTTGAAGTTCAATCTCAGGGCCCTGGATCTCATGAAATTAATCTGTGAATGTGTGTGATAAAAAAATAAAGTCAACCCCGGATTAATAAACCCCGAACGGCTGTTTAATTGGGGGGGTACCATTTCAGTACCCATAAAAATCACTATTTGGGGGAGCCACCACAATTAGTCAACCAGGGTTTTTTAATCCGGGGTTGATAAAAATATATACAAATCACCAGAATCTCTGATTCCACAGACCTCGATCTTGACACAAAGGCCCATGTTGTACTTCCAACGCCCGACTTTGGGGCTTCCAGAGCTACAAATGGCTTGGCAGCGATGATGTCGTGCCCTTTTTTGGCACGTGGAAAGGAAAGGAAAAAACATGTTAATTCCACAAGCTGTGAGCCAACTATTTAGATCACTTGATCACAATCGACAAAATAAGAGTTACGATCTGAAATTCCGAAACAATGGCATCAAAAGAAGGATTACGAGCACCAGCTGAGGAGACTGCAGTGCAGTGGCCATTTTTGGCTTGCGAGGTAACAACACCCCCATTCTGCAAATCTCCACTTTTCTTTTAACCAAGAATTCGCTGTGTATTTTGGTATATATGTTCCCCGTTTCAGGGTAGTTAAACCATATTAAGCCCAGTTTCTGGATGCTAAACCCTTCCATGTCCGATTCACCTGCCCCATGTGACGTGGCTCCTGAAGCATCTCCAGAATATTGCAATGATATTGATATGCTGCCGCCTGAAAAATGGCAAAATGGCTGGAGAAACCCTGGTGAAATGTATTGAAATGTATTGAATCCAATATAATCTATTCAAAAATTTTGGGCCACAAGTTTTGTTTCAGCTGGGTGAAATCAAAAACTGCAATTTCTGAGTGACACAGAAAAAGAAACTTGTAAGCTATTGAACTGGAAACCCGTGTAAACCTGGAAGTGCTGCCACTTTGGCTACACTCTGAGGAGGGTATGGCCTGTTAGGATGCCGCCATTGGGCACTGCATGGCAGTGCGTTAGGCGTTGGTTCTATTTTCACGAGACATTTGTGATGTCAAATTGACCATGAGAAATGTTGTATAGAGACAAGTTTCACGCTGCTTGGATCCCGACGTTGATACACTAGCTCAGGATTCAATCTCTTTTGCAGCGGGTTTGATTTGGAAAGGCCAAGTTCAATGGTTACATAGTTACATTCCTATGTTTGTCTGCGCACATACCCCATCTTAAGGTAGTCAAAGCCTTGTATTCCTGTCATTCCTCTCCCATGCCCGTCATTCCTTTGGTCAAATCATCTCCCTATCCTATATAAATGCAGTACGCCGATACGCTGTAATCAAACATAGCGATGATTTTCCCATGTGAACCTCCATTTCGAAGGGATTTTGAAACTTGCCATGTTTGATTACCGGATGGTACATCATGACTCGTACGAGTCTGTTTTTTTTATACAACGGTGCGTTTCAAAACACGTAGCCCTCCCTAGATTTAACCTTAAGATGATTCCCATATTCATAATAAAAGCACCGTTTTCAAGGGGTCCCCCGTTTTCATGGTGAAATGTTTGACAAATCCCACGAAATATCCCAAGACTGTCCCCATGAATATCCCGATTGTACACAATATCATCATCATTATATAACTTAATCAACTCACATTGAATCCCTATTGTTGATGTATATGTAAACCCTGCTTAAATCCCCCATGTTTCATGATTAAGTTCTATTACCATGGGGATTATAGCTACATGATATCCCATATAATTCCACTATTATCATCATGTTTGGTCATTTTTGGTGGGTGAAACCTCCATTTTTTCAGCGCAAAATTCCGATCCGACCTCCGCCATTCGGAGCCAAACGCCCAGACCACAGGCCCTGGAGGACCTTGGGATATCGGATATCGTGGAGTGGTCGTTTTGAATCACATTGAAACAGATTGATCTTATCCGGAGGGAGATATCATGGGGATGGAGGTTTGCTAAAATGGTGGTACCCCAAACTATGGTTTTTGTTCATAGCCCCATTTCATGTTTCACCATGTTTCACCTCCATATGGGTGAAGAACGGGTACCCAGGGCACAGGCATCGACATGGCATGCCGCAACTTTTCGAGGCAATCGTCCTGCCGGGTCTTTGGTTTTTGCCGGAAGATTTCAGGACGGCGTTGGTCCTAACAGTAGATGTATGTATATGCTGAATAGTGTTAGTATTACTAATACAATATCATACGGACTTATTGATGTACTATTTACTTGTATCCATTTCTATTTTGGTGCTATATATGTATTCACATTTATGTCCACGTATAATACAAGAATCTAATGGCATATGTTCAATCCTCCTATTTGCCCGCATCCCTCTGTGGAACACACAAAAACGTCTCCTGTGCAAATGCCAAAATGTAGGGCCACGACCTGAGTCCCGGCCATCAACATGGGGCATTGGCAAGTTTCTTCTGCAAAAAATATGTGGGACACAACATCAAAAAATACAAACAAATCATAAAATACATTGAACTACAGAAAATATCCACTTCAAAGGATCCTAAAATCGGAAAAAAAAAAAAGTAAGGGACCACTGACCTGGCTATGTGGTTTCCTGAATAGTGGTGCCTTGGTGTCATCATCACCAGTGGGAATGGAACATCACATGTGGATGGCAGCACCAAGCAGAAACTGGTGGTTTTGGATTTTCTTCAAGGTGGCTGAATTGGCGGTGGCTATAGCCCTGGTTGCGTCCCGATCATACAAAAAACCTCCTATCCCCTTGTCGGTGGTTTAAATTCTACTCCCAAATAAAACATCTGAAACCACCAACCAGAGACTGGCTCTTTGGTGTCAACAACAGGAGACCAGGGCTTTGCTCCATGACCGGATATGAACCATACTATTTTTGACTCATATTCTATTAGCTCTCAATATATATTCCCCATGAATAGTTCACATTATATATAGTTATTAACCCATTAGTATTCACCATCAACAAAAACTACCAATATTCACTCATACCACAAAATATTCACATATTGTGACATATTATAAATCGTCATCTTGGGCCCACCAAACGAAGTTTCCACCGCACCTCGCCAAAAGCCGCCATACCACGAAGCTCTTCGGAGCCGGCCTTGGCTGATCTGTGGCATCTATGGAAGAATAAAAATCGATGGTAAAATGATTTTAGGTCTAGATTGGCAACGAATTCTGGGTCACCAATTATACCCCATAGAACCAACCCTAAATCCATCCAATCCATCCATGGATGGTTACAGAATATATAATAAAATACGTACATAAAAATTAGGCACACGGAAATGTTGAGGGGGCTGTGCCATCACAACTGTCGACTTGTCCCGGGAAGAGCTGGCAGAAGCATAGTCTGCAGGCATTGGAAAGGCTTAGCCGCTGCTCGCCAAGCGCATCCCAGTTTTGTACTCCTTCTCCTTCGCTGTGCCCCGCGCCAGCGAAGAAGTCTTCGCAAAGATTTTTTCCAGGCTGGAGCACCCTCAAAGGGTAAAATCTCCTGGAATGACGATCCCAAGTGCAGATAAGTGCAGTATAGTAGATTCTCGAAAGACCTGGCTTGCCCCGATCATAACTAGATTGTAACATATTGTAACCATCATTACTTCTCAGTTGAAAGAGGCCCACTTGTCCACAAAGAAGGATTCACCTTGATTTCAAAACCAGCATGGTATACCTTGGCGACTGGCAAACTTTCACAACCACCTGGAAGTCCGTTGGCCCTCGGCCATGTCGGCCTTCTGGTGGTGCCTCTCTTTGCCGTGTAGCCTTCTTGCAAACAGTTGGCTAAACCGACATTTATGCTCATGAAATCCTCACTTGCTGTTCTGGATGATAGTCTTTGATAGTTTTGATAGTTTTTGGATTCATCTTCATCATCATCATCATCAGAAACATGGTTTAAAAAAAAACTCAAACACCAATCAGCCTTGCTTCAACTTCTTTCACAAGATTGTCCCACCGAATGCGGAGACGCGGATCTTGGCCCATCTGGGTCCCCTTTCTTCAACAGCAAGTTCTCCATGAGATCAACAAACTCCTGCTGGAAATCACATGGGATCCCTATGATTCTCCCATTGGGATGGATACATATCAAAACCTTTGAATATTGAGAGGATATAAGATGATATAAGTAATGGGATATGTAACCAATATCGACCAACATTGTATGTGAGGGGATGAGCATCCACAATTCCCAATTTCGGGGTGAACAAAAGGGTACCAGGGTTGACTCCTACCAATATTGAACATTTCTGGCCAAAAACCATCTTGGCAGTAACATTTGGACACTCTTCATTTTTGCCTAGCTGGCAGTCAAAAAAGAAGAACACATAAATCATCCAGCAAGACCTCTTTTGAAAAGTTGTTGCATTCACCTTCATGCTGGTATTGTTAAGTTGACAGAAAGAGTCTGAGACCTCAGTTTGTTTAGTTGTTTCTACGTCTGTAGATGGTCTTGGTTGCAGTGTTCATCTAGTTATTTCTTCTCAGCGACATAGCGCAGAATGCCTTCATTTTCTTGTTCACCTCGTCAGGTTGTTCTTGCCGTACCACCCGCCACCTGCTTCTCACATTCTTCATGTTTGTATGGATCAATTCTGTTTGGACCCCCAAGGCCTAAACCATTTGTGGTGGGGTTCCCAAGCAAAGTCGCACAGCCTCAAATCCATCCTCCAAGGTAGGCCGAAGTGTCACATCCTCATGCCACTCACCATCTACCTGGCTTCAGCATCTGTCACTGGGCTGTAGTTCAATCATCTCTGTTACCATATGGCTGGTCACAATGCTAGTTGTTTGCCGATACCCCAAGAGGATATATCCACGCACTGCAATGATATTGTTGAATAATGCTTGTCTGGTATCTGGCAGATGTCCCCCTTGTTGTAGGAGTGTCTATCATCTTCCCAAGTATGAAAACCAAGAAAAACACCATCTTTGTTGCTGTTTCCAACCAGGACCATACAATGTTACCTGAAGTTCCCGGAAAATGTCAAATTTTAGTTTTGGATTGGTTATTGGGCCAGCAAATCCATATTCCCAGGAGATTCAGTAGATTCCCCATAAAATACACCCAACTATTCAGTTCGATTTAGTAGATTCCAAGTACCCTACTCAATATATATTTTGCCTGGAAGATCCCCCACTTGTAGATAATTTTCAGATTAAAACCTCCATGTAGTTTGGGGATTTTCCAGCGCCATGTTTTGATCTCCGAAGGGAAATTGACAGATATAGATACAAATGGGTTTGTCTGAAAATAGGGTATATTACCAATTATAGCCATTTAATAGGGATAATGATCATTAACCATTGGGTTTAGGGGTACACTATTTTCAGACAAACCCAAATAGAGAGATACTTAAATAATCAGATAGATATCAACGCTGATCTCAATTTCTGTCCAGGGATTTCCACCTTTTTCGAAACCTCCAACGTCAGCGGATGTCAGCGGCCAACGTCCCCGCCTTCTGCGGATGCACCATGTCGCTGGCGCAGTCCTCAGGGGTGGAAAGGGGATGTATTGGGGATCATCCATAATGATACCTTATTTCAAACTTTAGCCTCTTAACCTGTGGGCCTTGTGGACCATGGAGAGAACTATGGAAGGGACTATGGAAGAAACCAGGTCAATAAGGATATCTTATAGAAGGTGATGTTGGAAACCATGTCAAGGGAAAATTGGCAAGCTTTTGAAAAAGTAAAGAAACAACACAATGCACACAGCGAGGACACATCCAGATTCATCAATCTGGGTTTGCACTCAAAGTCGTGAAGTACTTGACCTAAATTGAATTTGTATTGTGGACCGGTGATGAATTCAGTTTTGCTAAAAACAAAAACTTGCCATGGATACTTTATACCTATCTGATCTATAGATATAAAAATTCTGATTGTGAGATTGGGGTGGACTTATGTTTCGGTCTTTCTTTTGAAGACTAAATCTTAGGTGCAAATAGAATTCTACTTAAGCGTCACAAACTGACGCCTAAGTAGAATTCTATTTGCGCCAGACAGATTATGCATTCCAAATTCTAGTCTGGGGCTGTTGGAAGACATAATTCATAATCTACTTGGGCGCAAAAAAGAATTCTGCTTAGGCATCACGAACTGACGCCTAAGTAGAATTCTATTACTAGTTGCGCCTAATTAGACCATGTCTTCCAAATTCTAGTCTGGGGCTGTTGGAAGACATAATTCATAGTCATAATCTACTTAGGCGCAAATAGAATTCTAGTCTGGGGCTGTTGGAAGACATAATTCATAATCCACTTAGGCGCAAAAATAATTCTGCTTAGGCGTCACGAACTGACGCCTAAGTAGAATTCTATTACTAGTTGCGCCTAATTAGACCATGTCTTCCAAATTCTAGTCTGGGGCTGTTGGAAGACATAATTTATATTCATAACCTACTTATGCGCAAATAGAAATCTAGTCTGGGGTTGTTGGAAAACATAATCCATAATCTACTTAGGCGCAAATATAATTTTGCTTAGGCGTCACAAACTGACGCGTAAGTAGAATTCTAGTTGCGCTTAAGTAGATTATGCATTCCAATTTCTAGTCTGGGGCTGGCATTTGGGTGAAAATATGGTTTGCTCTTTCTTCAAGATGGGAGACATACTCAGGCGACAGAAACAAACGCCAAAGTGGAATTATATTTGCAGCTAATTAATGTTCTAGTGTGAGACTGGGCTAAATTCAGCTTTGATTACTTAACAACCTTGCCCCAAATACTTGAAACCTTGAATGAATACATAACCCGCATACAGATAGTGGGTTTAATTTATGATGCTGCATTTGTTTGAGGGAAGATTCGGGCGATTTAAGCGCAATTGGAGAAATACTTAGGTGGAAGGAACAGGCGCTGAAGTCGAATTCTATCAATATGTAATTTCAATTATTTGGAAGGCAGTCCATGTGTGTTTGGGCGCGCTGAGCTGGCTTCTGCAATGTGTTCAGGCTGTTGGGATTATGTGACTTCCCTTTTCAAAAAAAGAACAAAGGCAATGCTGGTTGTTGGCTGCATTCCCATTGCTGTCTTTTTCCCCACCAGTTCTGGACTGGATCAAAAATATGCAGTAGCGGTAGCAGTGCAACATCCAGGCTATATTGTTGGTATTTTGTCACTCTGGCAAGACTGTTGCTACTACCGTGCTACTACCCATACAAGAAACGAACTATATTGTATATAGCTGCCGATAATTTCTTGGACCATGATTTGATACTTTTCAGAATATATATATATATATATAGCGCTAGCGGTGGGGTTCTTGAGGGTGATGATGGTTTGCTTTCGGGTTGGGACTAATGCATCCGGAATGGCTCAACCTTGTCCGTGCCTTCCTACTCCCGGGATTCTTGGCACAGAGAACCCATTTACGTGACAATTTTCTTAGCGCAGAGGTCTCCAGAACGGTTCGGAACGGTTCTGCAGACCTCCAGAACGGTTCGGAACGGTTCTGCAGACCTCAACTTTGCACGGAGATATTTCTCCACAGCTTCCAAACCCCCAAAAAAACGGTCAAGAGCAGTTCCTCCTGTTTCGCATTTTCAAAACCTGTTTGTTCATGGAAGGCGTGGCCCCTTTCAAAATCTTAACTGTCTTGAAAACTGTTCTGTGGAATCTTTTCTAACAAAATCATACAACTGTGTAGTTTGTATTGAAATGTATCCGTTTGAAAGCATCGCTTGTGTCGAATCATCATTGCTTATGGTACTAGTATTTGTTTATTTTTTTCAAACTCTATGTGTTAAAGTTAAATAATTATATATATAGTCAAAATATGCTATTATACAAGTTAAAATATGCTATTATATATGGAGGTCTCCGGAACCGTTCCGAACCGTTCTGGGGTCTATAGGCTTTGAATCCGGAACCGTTCCGGAACCGTTCTAAATAGTTCTAAATAGTTCTGAGGTTTTGGAAGTATCCGGAACCGTTCCGAACCGTTCTGTTGAAATCTCCGGAACCGTTCCGAACCGTTCTGCAAACCCCAAATAATGGCTTATATGTTAACTTACTTTTATACTTGTATATAACTTGATAAAACCAAATATACACACTTGTAGCTTATAGCTACTTTGTAAAATACAACTCATAATCCATAACTCTGGACTATCAAACTTCAATAAATCAATTTATAAGGTTTAGGAACTGTTTTAAAATTGAAACACATTGTTATAACTGTTAACTTACAACTTAGAGCTTCTAAGTATGACTTGACACTAAAAACTGTGTAACTTATAACTTTGTAACCTTTTAACTTTGAACTTACAACTTATAACTAAAACTTAGAACCTTTAACTTGTAACATAACTTTGACTTTACTTCTCGATTTGACTTCAACTGTTTAACTTTACAAGTATATTTTTGATGTTTGCTTTACTTTACTTGCTTTGTATTTATGATTTGTATAAGACTGTTTGAGTTTTTAGATGAACTATATGTTCTTGTTTGTTCGTGTATGTTTGAAAGTTTGGAAGTATATCGACCTGGTTTGTTTGTATAAAACACAACAATAAAGTTTAAGCGTTGTATTTGGATAATATGACATATTTATAATGATTGTAATCTGTTACTGCAACACTGCTACGGACCAATGCACAACAACATAGCGACAGAAATACAGTAACACATCTTTGATCTGCTACAAATACGTAGGGGAACACAAATTAATTTCATTAGCATTCCGTGTGCAGTTGATAAATTTGTTTCACCATGTTTTACCTAAGTTTTACCGTGGTCTTCGCAGCACCGAAAACAATGCTTAAAAACTGTGGATTTGCATTTGCGGTTCATCCATGTGCTGCATGGATGAGCACACAGCCATACATACACTCATGAATGCACTAGTTAACCCATTTTACAGTATACAGGGTCACATCGCAATAGTGTTTTTATGAGTTCTTTTTTCTAGCTGGAGCTTGCGCACATGCATTCTTTGGTGTTCTCCTTTTTGAAGAAATATGGGGCCCCGAATTAAACAGATGTTGTATATTGTTGTATACTGTTTTCCTTTCCAACTTACGGACCAATATTTTCAAATACGAAGTTTGTATGTAACATCTAACTTGATGTTGAAAGGTTTTTTTGTCCAGGAACTTGGAGCAATGCGTTTTTCTTTCAAAGTGGTGGGTTTCTTCATTGGGTGACATTTTTAGTGGAAACACCCCTTATTTCCATGGATTGCTACATAGTTCTTCCATAGTTCTTTCCCTGGACATATGAAATCAACAGGAATCCAAATTTAAGAGACTAAGGTTTGAAATAAATGATACCATTAAAAGGGGATCATCCATAATGATGTATTGTAAGGGGATGTTTATGTTTCTAAAAGTACTATACTATCTATTAATCATACCATTTGATAGCTATGAAAAAACTATTAATCATACTATCTATCTCTTTTTGGAATATCTATTGATCATTCTTGGTTGGTGGTTTCAACCCCTCTGAAAAATATTAGTCAATGGGAAGGATTACCCCATATATTATGGAAAAAAAAATGAAACAACCAACCAATGTTTTATGTTTCTAAAGTACTGGGTTATTATATCTGACAAATACAAAATGTAATCTATTTCATCGTACTTTCCCTCTGGCTCAGTTTTTTGGGAGAAAGATTGGTAACAATATGTAACAATGGATAAAGTTGATAAAGTTGATAAAGTTGATAAAGTTGATAAAGTCAATGTTCATAACATACGATATAACATACGATATAACCAACTGAATGATGTTTTTTTTGGGGGCGTCCTGCAGCTGTTTCTCCAGCTGCCGGAGCCGCGGCAGCAGGTCCGTGGGATCCCACCTTTGGGATGAATCTTCGGCGACAAATTTTGGGCATCCGGGGCATCCCGTCCCAAGGAAGTCATGGGCAAATGATGAAATGATGGGATAGGATCTTACATTATTAGGATATTACATGATATTATTTACCTATTCCAAATGATGATTTTCCATAGCAAATGATGGGATAGGATAGGATACCCTCTGGTAAACTAAGAGTTTGCTATGTAAAATATTGGAAAATCACCATTTGGAATGGGTAAATCATGGTAAATCAACTGTCAATGAGCCATTTTCAATAGCTATGTTAAATTACCGGAGGGTACCATCATTATTAATATGGAAGTTTCCTGAAATGTGGGTACACCCAGTTCTCTTCCCATTTTTGTTTGGGGTTTTCCATGAAATAAACCATCCAGCTATTGGGCTACCCCCATTTATGGAAACCTCCATATGTGATATCCCACAATGATGGAAAAGAGATACTCCCGATCACATTAGTCATTGTCAAAAGGATACTACAATCAATGATAGGATAATGAGATCATATATGGGATGATGTGGGATAATCATGTCACAATTAATTACACAACTATCCCATTAATCAAAATGATGGGATAATGAGACAATGGGATATATTGGGATATGCAAATTAATTCAAAACATTAATGAATGCTGGGATAATGGGAGATTATAACCAATAAGGATATGAAACATATTGAATATTATCTATATAAACATGATCACTTGATATTGATGGGCCAACATAAAATATCTAAAATTGTGAACAACCACCATTTGTAATCAATAAACTTAAAGAGGGATGTGATGGCATATTAGAACCAACCACTATTATTTGGCTGAGTTGAAATAACCTCTGGTAATTGAACAGTCTGCCATGGAAGCTATGGCCCGTGTTCGATGATTTACATATGAGCACTTAAAATGATTACCCTCTGGTAATTTAACATAGCTATGGAAAATCACCATGTTTAATGGGAAAATCCACTATAAATTGCCATGTTCAATAGCTATTTTGACATAACCAGAGGGTATTTTCCATAGCGAACTATGAAATTACCAGAGACTATTCATCAGCCACCATGGGCCGTGGCTCCTCAGCTCCCAACGGTTGATTGGGAAATTGCCCAGGAAAGCTCGGATGAATTTTGGAGGCACGAAAAATAACCCTATCCCATCCCAACATCATATATCCCTTTTATGGATTATCAATAATGATTATCATATGTTGTCAAAGTCCTCAATGAACCAGAAAGTATAACCCTGTATTAACCAACAGTGATAATGATATTGTTTAATGGCTCAGATGAAAAACATTGAAACACTAGTGAAGGCCCATGAAGACCCAGAGATTTTCCGGGCAAAACAAATAAAATCAAACAATCATGATGAACGTTAGTAAACAACGACAAACTAGAGGGACACATGCCTGTCCATCTCCTCGAGAACGTGTAGCCTCCCGGACCAGCGCGGCCAGGGTGAAAAAGGGGGATCCAATTTTAAAAAAAACAGAAATGAGTCACCAAAAATGCCGTGGTATTGCTGAAATATTGTGAAATAGACAGGTTGTGTGCTGCTGTCTCAAAATCATCCATCAATCTGTGGCTGTTCAAGGATTTGAAACATGTTGACACCCATTTCATCCCCAAAAAAAACGAAAAACACATGATATCACCAGCAAACAGTACGATGAACACCGGGCAGTTTCCACCGGACCTGGCCATGCTGAGGGCAGATTCAGCACTATGGCCATAGCCCACTGAAGTGTACTCCGGATTCTGCTGCGGAAGCAAGACCTCCTGAGGATGATCATGAACAAGGGGGATGGGCCTTGAAAAATGGAAACATTAAAACAGTGGTTTAATGGGAGCCAATGGGAGATTTTCGAAACCATTGGACTTTTGGGAGCCGTGTGTTCAGACAAGCCGATGCAGCAGTTTGGAAAGGAAAAAAGTGTCTTAAGAAACCTTAAAGCTGATTATGGAGTGAATCAGAATTAGACGAATTATATAGTGGACGGTAACCATGGTCAAACTACACTAAACGAGGTTATAACCCTGTTGTGAAGCGGTTGCTGGTGGGTAACCACTCAAATGGTGTGCCTGACTCTCCTCAGGCTCACTCAACTCATCCACCTGCACCCAGAATGGGTCAGAAAATCCCAATGGCTGAATTACAGCACTTTGTGCGCTGTTTATGTTCAATTTTTAAACGAGCGATGTTTTCACATGTTTTTGGCATTTTTCAACAAAAAACGACATTACAGATTGAAAGTAGACGACAGTGTGGCCCGAAAGAAAACTGGAGGGAGGAGACGGGAAGATAGCGCACAACAAAATATGATGATGAATGCTGCTGGTGGGGAGTTTTTACAGAGACACGTTTACACACATATTTTTTTCGCACAGAAAATGTTACACAGAGAAGTCTTTATACAGATTGGTTTTTACACGTAGTTTTTTTTACACAGAGAGAAATCTTTACACAGAGGAACTTCTACGCACGGAAGTTTTTACACAGAGAAGTCTTTACACTTTACACTAAGGAGATTTTGCACACAAACTCGTTTACACAGAAAAAAAATTACACACAGAAGTTTTTACACAGAGAAGTGATTACACGGAGAGTTTTTACACACAGACGCAATTGCACACAAAAACGTTTACACGGCGAAGCCTTTACACAAGAGCTTTTATACACAAGGGCGTTTACACACGGAAGCTCTTACACACAGACGCTGTTGCACAAAGAAGCCTTTACACAGAGAGCTTTAACACACAGGCGCGTTTACAGACAGAAATTCTTACGCAAAGAAATTTTTACACAGAGTTTTTACACACCAGAAATTTTCACACACAAAAGTTTTTACACAAAGAAGTCCTTACACAGAGAAGTTGTTTTTACACGCAGAAGTTTTTTCACATAGAAGTTTTTACACATCCATGAATATGTTCAAAAAAAAATAAGGAATATATTTCTGAAGCAGCAGGTCCTCATTCAATAGCTTTCAAGCCCACCCTGCGATGACATCGAGGGTCAAGTAATCCGGCGGAGCCGACGATGAGCGTCAGCTCTAAAATATATTTATATTAATCATAACCCGGACTGATATTTCAAGTTTGCGCTCGTTTGCGGATATTTGCGCTCGTTTGCGGGTATTTGCGCTCGTTGCTGCGGGTTGATTTTCGGCAGTCACAACCATGGAACTCAGAAGTAGCCACGCAATTCTCTGAAACAGTTAATCTGGTCGCACAATCGCATGAAATTCCCATCCTGAACACCTGCATGGCTGATTAGTTTCATATTAGGTTCTCTAGCTGCCTAAATGACCGGACTTGTTGATGTCCAGTTTATCCGAAATGAATTGCGAGAGAAAACTGAGCCAAACGATTATTATGGGTTGTATATACCATGATCTACCATGATTTACCATGATCTACCATGATCTACCATGATCTACCATGATCTACCATGATCTACCATGATCTACCATGATCTACCATGATCTACCATGATCTACCATGATCTACCATGATCTACCATGATCTACCATGATCTACCATGATCTACCATGATCTACCATGATCTACCATGATCTACCATGATCTACCATGATCTACCATGATCTACCATGATCTACCATGATCTACCATGATCTACCATGATCTACCATGATCTACCATGATCTACCATGATCTTACCATGATCTACCATGATCTACCATGATCTACCATGATCTACCATGATCTACCATGATCTACCATGATCTACCATGATCTACCATGATCTACCATGATCTACCATGATCTACCATGATCTACCATGATCTACCATGATCTACCATGATCTACCATGATCTACCATGATCCATGATCTACCATGATCTACCATGATCTACCATGATCTACCATGATCTACCATGATCTACCATGATCTACCATGATCTACCATGATCTACCATGATCTACCATGATCTTACCATGATCTACCATGATCTACCATGATCTACCATGATCTACCATGATCCATGATCTACCATGATCTACCATGATCTACCATGATCTACCATGATCTACCATGATCTACCATGATCTACCATGATCTACCATGATCTATGACTACCATGATCTAACATGATTTACCATGATCTACCATGATCTACCATGATCTACCATGATCTACCATGATCTACCATGATCTACCATGATCTACCATGATCTACCATGATCTACCATGATCCATGATCTACATGATCTACCATGATCTACCATGATCTACCATGATCTACCATGATCTACCATGATCTACCATGATCTACCATGATCTACCATGATCTACCATGATCTACCATGATCTACCATGATCTACCATGATCTACCATGATCTACCATGATCTACCATGATCTACCATGATCTACCATGATCTACCATGATCTACCATGATCTACCATGATCTACCATGATCTACCATGATCTACCATGATCTACCATGATCTACCATGATCTACCATGATCTACCATGATCTACCATGATCTACCATGATCTACCATGATCTACCATGATCTACCATGATCTACCATGATCTACCATGATCTGACCATGATCTACCATGATCTGATCCCATGATCTACCATGATCTACCATGATCTACCATGATCTACCATGATCTACCATGATCCATGATCCCATGATCTACCATGATCTACCATGATCTACCATGATCTACCATGATCTACCATGATCTACCATGATCTACCATGATCTACCATGATCTACCATGATCTACCATGATCTACCATGATCTACCATGATCTACTACCATGATCTACATGATTTACCATGATCTACCATGATCTACCATGATCTACCATGATCTACCATGATCTACCATGATCTACCATGATCTACCATGATCTATGATCTACCATGATCTACATGATTTACCATGATCTACCATGATCTACCATGATCTACCATGATCTACCATGATCTACCATGATCTACCATGATCTACCATGATTTACCATGATCTACCATGATCCATGATCTACCATGATCTACCATGATCTACCATGATCTACCATGATCTACCATGATCTACCATGATCTACCATGATCTACCATGATCTACCATGATCTACCATGACCATGATCTACCATGATCTACCATGATCTACCATGATCTACCATGATCTACCATGATCTACCATGATCTACCATGATCTACCATGATCTACCATGATCTACCATGATCCATGATGATCTACCATGATCTACCATGATCTACCATGATCTACCATGATCTACCATGATCTACCATGATCTACCATGATCTACCATGATCTACCATGATCTACCATGATCTACCATGATCTACATGATTTACCATGATCTACCATGATCTACCATGATCTACCATGATCTACCATGATCTACCATGATCTACCATGATCTACCATGATCTACCATGATCTACCATGATCTACCATGATCTACCATGATCTACCATGATCTACCATGATCTACCATGATCTACCATGATCTACCATGATCTACCATGATCTACCATGATCTACCATGATCTACCATGATCTACCATGATCTACCATGATCTACCATGATCCATGATCCATGATCTACCATGATCTACCATGATCCATGATCTACCATGATCTACCATGATCTACCATGATCTACCATGATCTACCATGATCTACCATGATCTACCATGACCATGATCTACCATGATCTACCATGATCTACCATGATCTACCATGATCTACCATGATCTACCATGATCTACCATGATCTACCATGATCTACCATGATCTACCATGATCTACCATGATCTACCATGATCTACCATGATCTACCATGATCTACCATGATCTACCATGATCTACCATGATCTACCATGATCTACCATGATCTACCATGATCTACCATGATCTACCATGATCTATGATCTACCATGATCTACCATGATCTACCATGATCTACCATGATCTACCATGATCTACCATGATCTACCATGATCTACCATGATCTACCATGATTTACCATGATCTACCATGATCTACCATGATCTACCATGATCTACCATGATCTACCATGATCTACCATGATCTGCCATGATCTGCCATGATCTACCATGATCTACCATGATCTACCATGATCTACCATGATCTACCATGATCTACCATGATTTACCATGATCTACCATGATTTGCCTCTGGTGCAAAAAAAACTGGTGTGTTTCCATCACAAAGAATGGTGATTTCCACCTGCAGCAAGTGGAAAAGGTAGGGTGCCTCGTCCTTGAGCTCGCTCTTCTGCTTCAACTGACAGTGGTGATTTTTAACAAAACTAATGGGAAAATCATAGATACTGTGGATGGAAGGAATCATAGCCCCAGTTGGCAACTACTGGATACTACTGGTAACTATGAAACACTGTAAATAATGGGATGAGAATGGGATAAACCGTCCACCAGCTGGTGCAGGATTTCTTCCATCCACTGTAGGTATTACCTTTGAAATCCTTTTAACCCATCCCCACCTACCTAAAGTCTTCTGGAGTGGTTCAATGTGACAAACTCATTGAACGGCCTGGATTTGCCCAGCACCTTGTCTGTCAGGCCGGAAAGCATTTCCCCCATTCTGACATCTCAACTTGCAAAAATGGTCTCCGTCATCCGAAGTTTGTTGGATTTTTGTGTTCCGAAATGAACATGAGCTCTTAAACGGTGCGGTTGGAATCCTTCCGAGAAAAGATTATCAGGCAACAAAGGCAAAGTGTTAGGGACTGAAGAGATCTGAAGGGACTCCAAACATGAAAAGTACATTAATGTACAGTAAGCAAGTGACACACAAAAAATACACATCTCACACGCACTTCTTTACATCCTTGGCATTAGAGGGATCCAACCAATTCTTGGCCCACGTCACATAAAAATATAAGTGCCATTGTTGGTTGAAAAAAAATCAACTCCATCCGTCACATTTAAGATTTAAGTGCCATTGTTGGTTGAAAAAAAACAACTTCATCTACCGCATCCAATCTTGTCTGTGAATTGCGCACCACATATTTCTTGGTCTGTTTTTTTCCCATCGGAAGAGTTCCTGCTTTTGAATATGAAGGGCTTCGGCTCGGCAAGATGATGATGGAGCTTCCGCCCAACAAAATTAGACACAAAAACAGATCTACCATGACAGTCACTATGAATATTTATGAATATTTATGAATCATGACTCATGACATTTTATGACAGTTATGACATGTTATTACAGTACATTTTATGATATGTTATGTCCCAGTTTTGTAGACCTCATATAGGTTTCATTTGGTTGCTGTGAGTCACAGGATGAGATCGGCCTCCCGCAGACTCAATCGACAACACCAAAGACGTCCACCTCTCAGGTCCTTGGTGGAAAATCCTCTCGGAGGGAAACATGTTGAAATGAAACGGCTTGGTGGTTACCCTCTGGTAAACTAACATAACTATGGAAAATCACCATTTTCAATGGGTAAATCCACTATAAATTGCCATTTTCAATAGCTATGTTAAATTATCAGAGGGTATCAACCTTTTTTTGAACATGCTTGAACATGGTTTTAAAAAAACACATGAACTTCAACCTTGAACAAGATTCAACAAGATTTAAGTTGAGCTAATGATTTTGATAATTAATGATTCTATAGACATATTATGATATATTTAGATCCAGAACAATTCCTCCAGATAGATCGCAACCAATTAACCCACTAACCTTCTCAACCCTCAGCGCAGGTCTACCAGGAACACCAGGCACAAAGGCGGGCTGTCCTTCGCCCTAGGGATTCATCCGTTGGTGTTTTCAACCAGAATATTGGCCGTTGGGCATCGTCATAGAACATGTTCTTCATAAACAATTTTGGGCAACCATCTAAAAAAAAAATAAAATATATATAATGAGAATTATACACCAAAAAATGTGGTTTGTTCCCGTTTTTGAAGATTCAAAGCTGCAAGTCATGAGCAAGTTCCATGTTCTGGAGTGGTTCTAATGGCTCTACTTGGTGATTCCCACACTCGACAACCACAAGGATCCGCCATGGGTTTATGTTCATCTAGGCTCATGGGTTTGTCCAAAAACCGCATCACTGCAGTTGATCATCATTTGACTCATTGTTTAGTGGCAATTTGGTGGGGCCAAATAGGCCCATCCCCTAGATTCAGACTCTTCTTTGGACACACCCAAATATGTAAATATGTAAGTTAAACTATACATCTGATTGTAACCCCAGTCAACACCCAGACTATCCCGGCACCATGGTTGGTTTTATTCCCGCCATTTCCCATTGAAAGTGGCCAGTGCTGAGTTTCACACCACGAAGGATTGCCCAGAGGTCCACACCGTGGCGACGAAAGTGGAGACCTCCGGGTGCCAGGACCCATCAACCCCTCCACAGGGTTAATTAATGGATAACTATCCATTGATGAGCCATGGACAGGTTATCCATTAATGGTTTATCATGGAAAATTATCTATATATAATTATCATCTATTATCATAATATCCTATATGTCACAAGATATTAATCTTTCATGGGACATAATTCATATGGTTGTAATGGGATACATACACTGGTGGGATATTTCATGTGGGATTGATGGGATCTAGTATTAATATGATAATATGTATTAATGATATACTATCATGGGGATATAATGGGGATATAATGGGGATATGACTTATAATGGACGAATTCACTGAGAATTCAAGCCATTTTTGGGATACTTTTACCTCAATCCTGAACCTGTCACCAGGCCCTAAACCACTCACGTAAAGCGAGGTTGGTCGTTCCAATTCATCCATATGGGGGTGTAGCATGTGCCACAGGGGAAAAAAAACACAAGGTGGTGATCAGTAGATCCTCCAGCTGCTTGTCACCTGGCGGGATCATCCCACAATCTGTGCTATGGATTTCGAGCAATGGATTTAAATCTAGCGTGGTACCGTGGTACCCCAGAAAAAGGAACCGTGAATCATGGTCAGTGCTTCTAAATTCTAATGTTCATATTTGGTAATAGACCATTTTATCATATTCTATCTCTTTGGAGAAGCCTTATTTTTGGTGAACACCAACTAGCCTCTGGCAATCGAACATATGGAAAATCCCATGAAAACTTGGTTTTCCCGTTTCAATGCCACTCAACAAAATGCCAATTTAAACCATTTATGGGTCCCATTGCCGTGTTCGATTACCCGATGGATCGCAGCGTCACCTGGTAGCTGTGCTCAAGAAGCTCGAACTCGTCCGACAGGACATCAATCACCTTCATAGATTCGGCGTTTTTGAAGGCAACGTTTCTACCTCAAGATTGCCTCAAGATGGGAAATGCATGGAAATGCATGGAAATGCATGGAAATATATGGAAATGAATGGACATGAATGGAAATGAATGGAAATGAATGGAAATGATGGTTTTGACATGCTTTGGCCATTGAAATTGTTATCCGTTATCCGTCCTGCAGATGCTCCCTTCAATTCTACAACGGATATATCATGATATATCCGTGATGGAGTTGGACAAAATGTTTCTTAATCAGAAAGCTGTGCATAGACCTGATGGACATCCATACTAAATCAGTAAGAACGATCCATACCCCCCCAGGTCACCCATGTGTTTCAGCGAATCAGCCAATGGATGTCCATGTCGTATGAATTGCTATGAATACTGTATATAAGTGTCACCAATCATATTGCCGCTCCTTTAAATCAATGAACACACAGGTCTCTGGCTGTCTGACTTAGCTGGAGTCCCATCTTCAACAGAAACAGGAAGTCACCAAAAAATGCAACTACCATGGATCAAATACGGAAACCGATTAACCGAACTTGCCCTGTAAAACCGGAGAGACCTCTGGCGAAAAGCTCTTGAAGCGAGCTGCATTTTCCTGTGAAGGATTGGAAGTCGTTGGGATCTTACCGCTGGAAATGAATGTGCTTGCACCAAAACTGTGGACGTCTCGCCAGTCTGTCCGCAAAAACATGCTGATTTCAACACGAAAAAACATGTTTCTGTTCAATGACTTTCTCCTGCCAGCCTGCCAGCTGGGACCGGCTTGACTGCCAGCTTCAGACCACAAAGCACATCTATTTTGTACATTGGGGCCTCTGACCAGCTCATCCATTCTCTGACCAGAGAAAGAGACCAGACTCCTAGTGGTCTCCCTATCCCCTGTTTCAACCAGTTCCGTCCCCTATCTGCAAGTCAACCTTCAAGGCGGAGGCTGTGTTCTTTGAAATCTTTGAAACTGGAACTCACCTCAAATTTGACTCGCTGGTGACTAAAAAAAACTTATCGCGGTGCAATCGTTCACCAGTTTCCTCATTAAGTCTGAAAATGGCCAGTAACCAACTACTCTACTAGATAAATCATGAGAAATCAATCGAAAATCATCAGCCAGAACCTTAATAAACTTTGTTTATTCACCTTAGATCATAGAATTCATATGATTTATCTGGTAATTATTGGCAGGTCTTAACAGAAAATGGCCACTGGTTGAGTCTGGTGCCATGCTGCCCACCTCCGCGGTTTCCAAGTCGGCCTCTGAGAGCTCCCAAGGATCCTACCAGCCAGTGATCACCTGAAATGACAGTCATGCTAGACTATCTGGTTGGTGGTTTTAACCATCTTGAAAAATATTAGTCAATGGGAAGGATTATCCCATATATTATGGAAAATAAAAAATGTTCCAAACCACCAACCAGCTATATATATATATAGATCCCAAGTCCCAGAGTTAACGTAATTATACGTAATTAGGATATTAGGATCGTTCTATATCGTTCTCATATTATTTTGAAAGGTCAATCCTGATGCATATTGGGATTTTACTGTTCCAAATCCCCATCCATGCGTTTGCCAGGTATAGATATATATATATATATAGTTATGTACAAGGAGATATAAGGTGAAATATGATATGGTTGAAATCTGGTTGAAATATGTATAGTATAACATGTATGCTTGAAATCAGGTTTTTGTTAAAGGGGGTTCAAACATGTTCAATTCTTGTCCCCACTGTGGTTCGGTTGAATCCCCATCCTTGTCCCATTGTCATCCTTGTTGATGCTAACGCCGTCCATAAAGACGCAGGGACTTTTAGTTTTTTTTAACGTCCAATGTTTCTTGTGGCTATGGGTCTGGGTGGGGTGATGTTAACGTTCTTGTTAACTTGCACGCTTTCTGCACATTACGTTGATCACGCTGCTTGGGTTGGGTATGGGGATGGTGGGGTGATGTTAACGTTCGTGTAAGGTCTTTGGCAGTGGACTTACAGCTGGCAATACAGATACAACAATGGCAAAGACCTTTGGACAGCTGTGCCACATGTCTTGGAGCACATCCAAGAAGGATGTTGATGAATTCCCGATCTTTGATGGTGAAATCCCCATCTTTGCTGAAATCCCCATTGTTTGATGGTTCCCAAAAAATCGCCAGCCAGTCCCGGAGTTTGGCGAAAAATCTGATCTGCTCAGCTCAACCGAAACCTGTCCCTTTGACCGAGCAAGGTCCTCCAAGCGATAAACCACCTGCCGCTGGGGCAGTTGGAACCAATGAGTCATCTTCCTGTCCCAGTTCATGGATCATCCCCAATATGTGAAGGATTTTGGAAAAGCAACCCCCCCAAAAAAAAATAGAAAACGTATAATCCTAGTAAAATCATGTAAAGATGTGTCAAGTATAGTCTTAAATTACACCTTCTCTATCTCTTTGGGGCTCCCGCTCCTTTGCCGCACCTGCTCCAGGAGTTTCACCCCACTGCTGTAGTTGCAAGCCTCACGGAGTCGATGGCTGGTGATGTGTTTCGTTTTGTGAATCACCAGTTGTCATCACCAGTTGGGCAGTGAAACGTGTGAATCATGATTTTAGACCCCAAGACTTTGCGGCAGATTGGGATTTACAAAGCTAAATCAAAGCAAATTATGAAAATGGTGCAAACCAGATTTGGGGAAGATTGCCCTATAGCCATGATCTTCATTGAGGTCGGTCAGTGAGGACCGACCAGAATTAAACCCATTTAAGATAATTTCAGCTAGTACCGAATTCTGGTGACAAACCAATTTTGCCCTCTGGCAATTTAACAATTTGCGAACTGGAAAATGGATGAACATGGCCCATTTAGTTCGGTGAATTCATTACCTATCAAAATTGTGCTTCTCCAGTTTGCAAACCCCTAGCAAAAGGCCAAAAAAAAAACATATTCATCCATATTCATCTATATTCATCAATATTCATCCATATCTGTCCATATTCATCCATACCCTCTTGGTAAACTAACATAGCTATGGAAAGATCCACCATTTTCAATGGGAAAATCCACTATTTCTATGGACATTTTCAATAGCTATGTTGACATAACCAGAGGGTATTCCCAGCCGCTCCTTGCTGGCCGACTTCACCGGTCGGCTCTTGGCCCAGCTGCCAGCACCATACCTTTCATGCGGTCATGGAAATTACCCAAGAGCTGGATGGATCTGGATGGGTTTTTAAGGGAAAATCCATGGGAAAATCCATAGGAAAATCCCATCCCAAAACAAACATGGATGATAACTATGATAACTGGGGGTACCCCAGTTATCTACGGACACCTCCATATAACACTGCAGAACCAAACAGAACCATATTTCGTTGAGGTGAATAGCCTCCGGTAATTGGTTACATAGCTATGGAAACCATTGCCCATTTAGTTCGATGATGTACCTATTCAAAAATTTCAAAATGCAGATTTTCCAGTTCGCAAACTCTTAAATGAATATCTAACCGTTCGAACCTATTGGAGTTTTAAAATTTGTTCTTGCTAACCTTTCGTTTACAAGCTGGGCAATAGACAATCCATATCAATGGGGGTTCAACGGCAAAACCAACCAGTAATAGTAATGTTGTAATACGCACCCAGCATGACTTTGGTTTACCAACTCCAAAAACGAAAGCCAAGAAAAAAAACATATCTCATATATTGAGAATCAAAAAACTAAACTACTAAACCCATATAATGGTTGAGTATGGATTAGTCTCATATAATGAGAATCTATCAGATCCCATCCATCAATCCAACCAATCCAACGGAAACATCAGCCGCAAATCATCTGGCCGCATGGCTCACTCGGCGTCCCAAACGTGCGGCAAGGAGCCCACATGTTGGGGACCCTGGTGGCCGGCCATTCACCAAAGAACCACAGCAGGCCACAGCACATGCATACGTAGTTACAGATGTATATTATATATATATATGTATATGTAGAATATTGATACTTATAGTTATATTTATAGTTATAGTGATCATATAAAACTTGTGTATATATATATGTATATTAACGCCATATTTACGGTATAAAATGTTTATATGTGGATACCATTTCAAATCTTATCATACCATATCATATATCATATATGGTATATCACATATCATACATCATATATCAAATAATTAATTATATTTTTTATATGTAAAATTCATATCATATCATATATATAATATTATAACTATTATATGTGTCCCCATGTTCTTGCACAAATTGTTGGTGAGAATATACCCGCAAAGATCCATGATTCCCATGTATTTTCGCCGGTATGTATTTACGCACCTGTTTTTCGGCGCTCAGGGAAGACCAAAAACTGTCACCTAAAGTATGCCCATGTACCTACCCTCACTGTAGGGACCTCTTATCTGATCTGTATTCTGGAGTAATGGAAGAACTTATAAAAGCCCGTACTAGAACATACTAGAACCACTGTTGTACTGGCAAATACCAAATGAATCCATTTATGATATACAATGAAAGAGTATGAACAAAAAATGAAAGGGTAATCTATGTTCGATATGATAGAAATTCAGTGAACCGCTTCAGCTGCCAGGCTTTTCCAGGATCCAGCGAATCATCGCTCCAGTCCGGACTGGAAACCAATGGTGCACGATATGGGCCTTCTCCGCCAGAAGTTTTCGAAGCTGAGCGGAAAACTGTTGATAGTCAACAAAGCCTTGGACAGGCACAGCAGCGGTGGAAATAAAACGTGGTTGGCAGGGAAATATTCGAACTAAATGAAGGTTTGAATGGGAAAATCAGCGAACTATATAAATGGTGTATTTTCCAGCATGTTTGATTACCGGGTGATAAATATTATGAAGGATTATGAAGGTTTCCCCAAAGAGTCGCGACAGTGAATCCGAGACATGTTTTCCTGATGAAAGCAGCGGCTTCTGGCAAGAGAATAAACATATTGATGCTGAAGCCAGAGTAGGTAAAGATCCGAATCCATTGGTTCAAATGGGAATTGTCGTGTCATGGCAATCACAGGTGGAAAACTCTCTGCAGCCGCGGCTGAAAGAACATGTGTGGAGGTATGGCGCAGGGTTTTTAAATGTAACCCAGACAAAGTGAACAAACAGCATTGCCACACTGACCGCATTCAGGAACCCAAATACATCCTCTGTGGCTGGATGACTATTCAGCCACAAATTAGTAAAATCAAGAACTTTTTAGCGCCTGAAGACATGTTCAGGGTGTGCTTTCAAGATTTATCAGGATTTATCATTACTTTATTTTCATTGAAAACATGAAAATTGCATTGCTATTGTGCCTTGGGCTCGCTGCATCTTTGAAACAAAACCGGCTCGCTTGCAGATGAAAATCACATCTTGCAAACCTGGCAATCTGTGTTCTGTCACCTGCCCCGGATGACTGCAGTGGGTCCCAATTGAAACCTGTCGGACATCAGGATATATGTTTTTTTCATCGGCGCCGACAGTGGAATAAGTGTGACAGGTCTGATCAAGAAGTATATAACTGCGTTCACATGAAAAAATGATGGCGCAACTGCCGCAACTATGCACAAGTAGCATGCATCCACTATTCACCTTCATATTGAGTCTTCGAGCACGCCCCGACCACCCACAATGCTGTTCACGGGTGATGGCGCTTGCTGAATGCGTTCAAAGCCCAACGAGCCCCACGAGTCCTCTTTGGATTCAAACACAACGGTTGACACATGTCTGCACCTGCCAAGCGAGTTCCGTTTGGTGATAGAAGTTGTTTGCGCAATTTGGCAATAGGCAACAAAGCTGGGGGTTTGTCAGTTTGTGGGTCTATATATAGTTTCATCATGTTTCATCCTCCATCTATAGTTTTATCCTCCATTTAAATCACCCATAGGCATTTGCCGAGGAGCCCCGTTCGGAGCGGTTCTCCATGGAGAATCCAACCAGCGGGATTTGCAGACACCTCAGGGCGGAGTTCACCATAAAGCAAGGTCATGTTAGGATGAACAGCTACGACAGCTACGAGTAGCAGCCATTTCCCATTTAAGAATCAGCACCTGTGGTCAAGTCCTTCTAGACTGAAAAGACACCAACTTTTGGGAATAAGTTATTAAGTAGTATTGAAGGAGCATGAAGGAGCCCTTTCCCCTTCTGGTTTTCTCAAGGCCTTTGAAAAAGAAGTGCCCTGGCATATCCTGGCATAGCATAACCCCTGCATATCCGAACTACGGATTGTGAAGCAAACAATGTTTGCAAGTTCAACAGAACCTCTGAATCCAACAGACCTCTGCAATGTGGCTGTCGTTCAATATGTACTCTTCCCTGCCGCTCCCCCTCAAAAAAGTCCACAACTGGATCGACAGATGTCAAGCCCTCTTTCTGGGATCCCATCAACTGGAATTATCACAACTATGATGAAGTGTTTGAACCACCAACTACATTTTTTGTCCCCATATATTCCTGAAGATTTTACCGACACCAGGCGAACCCCCACAATAATGGATGATTGTTATAAACTCCTACAATCTCTTACGATTACCCCCACAATATTATAACCCCACAATAATAGATCATTAAATAATATATTATTATATATATACACATAGTAGATTGTTAAAAATAGATTATTAAATAATAGATTATTAAATAATAGATTATTAAATTATAGATTATTAAATAATAGAGTACTAAATAATAGATTATTGTAATATATTATAATTCTAATAGATTACTGTAATTATAATAGATTACTAAGTACTATATTGTTGGGGCCTGCCTGCCGAATCCCCATCTCACTCTGCTCGCGGCTCATCGTCATGTTCATCGCCACTTGCATCCTCGCAGGCCTCGTGGTGTACCCTAAGACCATTGGGCCATCGTGTGCCTTCCCGGCCATCCCGGAATCCCTATTCAAAATGACCAATAATTACTGGTAAGTTGTATGTTTTGGGGTCAACCTCTTCAAGAACCCTCCATATCTATACATATTTGAATCCTCTTTCCCCATGTGACACTGTCACAACCCCCACCTGGCAGCAGTAGCTGTCCGTCACCTGGCACCATCGCTCTGCCGTGGCTGCCCATTCTTTGGGGTCAGAAAATCTCGATGTTGCAAAAATCGAAGATGTTGAAACCATCCTATTCTCACCAAACCATCCAAATCAATGTCCATAGTGAAGTCTTTATACTCATCGACGTCAGGATTCCAGCTGGAAACCAAGCCAAAAAAGAGTTCACTGGCATCATGGGTGTATCATCTTATATCATGGCTATTCAGCCCCATTTCAATGACCCCAATGATAGCTGATTCAGATTCGTCCAAAAAAAACATCCTGGTCGTTGTTGTTTTTTATATAGTGCTTTTAGAAGCTCTTAATAAATCCTAGGTTTTATAGTGGATGATATAAGCTCTTTAAAAAAAAAAATTGAAGGTTCACCTGACTGGTTGCTGTTGATTGCTCCCAGGTTTCCAGACCCCGGTGACTCGAAAGCCACAAGTTCCACGGGCGCATTGCAAGACCTGGGCCGGGATGGAAACCTGATGGTGGAGGCTATTTTTCTATGGAAACCCATAGTTTTCACAGTTGTCACCCCTGGTGGAAAACAGCTGGATATAGCTGGTATAAACTGCTAATTATAATATTATGTATATTATATACATATACACACTGGTTATTTAACATAGCCATGGAACATCACCATTTTTAATAGGTAAACCATCTATTTCTATGGGCCATCTATACCATGGCTATGTTAGTCATAACCAGAGGGTATAAATGCATCTTCTTGCCAAGAAATCGTTCTTGGGGAGGTTTTGATCCATACCCAACCGTAGATGAAGTGCTCGTTGACTGTGGTACCGGCATCGCCCTGAAGGCTGTCTACGATCTGCACCCCACCTGTAGATCATTTTGCTGCAAAGAAGTCGCGGCCACAGTTCAACCCGACGGCTTTACATCCAAGGTGGGCGTCCTAAGACGCCAAGACCATCTTTGACCCACAGGGCCTTGGCGGCCTGATCCTTTGCTTTTTCGCCAAGGAAGTCAACTCAGGTGACAGAATTAATCGTTCACCACCCTCCTTGGTTGGTCGCGATGGGTGGTGGCACAGATTTGGAGCCTGGGTTGCCTTTGGCCAGGATGCACTACGCAATCCTCATTTGTACCAGAAATATCAGAAATGATTCCTCTTGCAAATTGCCTGGAAAATTCAACATTGTACATTAAATTAATCACCATGAAATGATTGTTGGTTCAGCCTCCGTTTTAACACGGCCATTTCATTCCAAGCCCCCAGTTTGGGTCTTCCCCCAGTCCAAGAAATAGACTTGGATCAATGATTTGATAGTTGGATAACTGGAACAATAGTGACAAGTCCATCTCTACACCTCCCAGTGTCAGTCCCAAGTCCGTCAGTGCCAGGTTGCACACAGAGGTCAGAAAAGTCAGGGCTCACGCGACGTGTGGAACGACTTGAAGGCCTTTCGACTGGGCTATCGCCCGTCAACAGGTGATCATGTCGTAAGAGTCTGGATGGTGTCATGAACATGCTGAACATGCTTTTCTACTGCGAAATTTCTGGATAGCCAGCCTCAGGCAAATTAAGATAGATATGGAATTCGAACGAATTCGATGGGGTTCCTGAGAGAAATGGTCTAGAAACGGTGCGTTTTCACATATCCGAATTAATGTACTGGAAGATATCTACTAGGAAACTCTCAGCCTAGCAAGCCGAATGATCTCCATTATTGTTTTGACATATCCTGCAAAACCCTCTCAAAACATGCTGGGCAGAGCCCGCCACTTGCAGAGGATGAAGTTCTTACAAAAGGACGTGTCCATAGATGTTCAAGTGCAGTTTATGGTAATGTGCGAACGTCCGTGGTAAACATCTACCATTCTTTCTGCCTAGTCAATATCATCCATCGGCAATGTTCATTTCCCAACATAGCATAACATACTATATCTATTGTATATCAAATATGTACGTGTATGTATATATATATATACATATATACATATATATATGCAATACTAATACATCTATACGCATATAAATATACATATATACATACATACACATATACATATACATATACATATACGTATTACGTATTACGTATACGTAAACGTATACATCTACATATACATATACATGCATACATAATCTACAATGTTATACGTATATTATATACGTGCAATGATTATATATATATACCATGAGTATGTATATATATATATACATTACATATAGATATATTACATATGTAAACAAGTATATATATATATTTATGCTACATGTGTATATACATACATACACACATACATTACATTACATTACATTGCATTACATTACTTTACATTACATTACATTACATTAATACATACATACATACCATACCATACCATACCATACCATACATAACATAACATTACATAACATAACATTACATAACATAACATTACATACATAACATAACATAACATAACATAACATACATTAATTACATACATTAATTACATACATACATTACATACATACATACATTACATTACATTACATTACATTACATTACATTACATAACATAACATAACATTACATTACATTACATAACATTACATAACATAACATAACATTACATTACATAACATAACATAACATTACATAACATAACATTACATTACATAACATTACATTACATTACATACATTACATACATACATACATACATACATACATACATACATACATACATACATACATACATACATACATACATACATACATACATACATACATACATACATACATACATACATTACATACATACATACATACCTACATTACATTACATTACATTACATCACATCACATTACATTACATACATTACATACATTACATACATTACATACATTACATACATTACATACATTACATACATTACATACATTACATACATTACATACATTACATACATTACATACATTACATACATTCATACATTACATACATTACATACATTACATACATTACATACATTACATACATTACATACATTACATACATTACATACATTACATACATTACATACATTACATACATTACATACATTACATACATTACATACATTACATACATTTACATACATTACATACATTACATACATACATACATACATTACATTGCATTACATTCCATACATACATACATACATTACATACATACATACATACATTACATACATACATTACATACATACATACATACATTACATACATACATACATACACACATACATACATTACATACATTACATACATTACATACATTACATACATTACATACATACATACATGCATACATACATACATACATTAATTACATTACATACATTACATACATTACATACATACATACATACATACATTACATACATACATACATACATACATACATATCACATGTGCATATGTACGTTGTAAAAACATATTATACATGCATGCACATTATACATACATACACATTATACATACATTACATTACAGTACAGTACATAACATTACATCACATTACATTTACATACTGCCATCTATGTTACATATACATACATAAGTCAAACATACACACTACCCATATATATATATCATAAAATTAGTCAATGTTAGTCACATCTTTGCAGATACCCTCTGGTAATTTAACGTAGCTATGGAAAATGACCATTAATAGTGGATTTTCCCATTAAAATTGTGATTTTCAATAGCTATGTTAAATTACCAGAGGGTAGAATCCTATAGAATCCTATGGGGAAATAGTTGTATACACCACACATCTATGCAGCCCCACCTGGTCGCAGCTCGCGTGGGACTTCGGGGACGGGGACTTCGGGGTCTCGACTCGCGGGGCTTCCGTTCACCGTAGATGCTCCAAAGACGACGGCCTGGCAGAGATCATTTCCAGGGCATGGCTGTAGATATCACATATATATTATATATAGTCATATGTATATATATATAACTAATTATAACTATAAAATTATATATATAATAATGTGTATATAATTGTATATATATATATATCATATATAATCTACATATCCCTTCATCTCCATTGTCCTCCTCTGTATCATATATGCTATGTGTAGTGCAACTGACTGTATACATACTTCATCAGAATTCAAATGAACTCCATATGGCTCGTGCTTTGGGTTCGACATGCTTCGACTGAAAACGCCTCAAACATCTGGAATGGGTCCCGTGGTAGTTGAGCCACCACATGGATTGGGGGGGATCAAAACAAGGAAATCCATAAACCCATATACAGTAACTGGTTTGTGGCCTCAAAAAGGTATGACAAAAGGGATATACTAATTAGTACTACCCATAGACAGCTATCCACACAAGTGTATATATATATTCAATGATTGTTTTTTTGCTGGGCCACGTTATCCCAGGCCGGATTGAAACATCAACAAGAACATCCAAAAACTTTTTTGTTTGGTCGAGTTACAGAACCTTTTACTTCGCAAACTACGTTTTCTTCTATGGTCTCACTTACGGCAATTCAAGCACTCTGGTAGTGAAACATAGCAACGGAAATCATGGGTGTGTAAGGTTTTTCACCTATAGCCCATAGATGCCTAGCACCCCATTGGTCGAGTCATTGGGCTGGCAGTCATGGTCATTCAGCCACATTCGATACATTCGTACCAAAAGAAAATCAAAAAAAAACATAGAGAAAGGCCCAAAGGGGGATCAGTGATATTTCAGAAATTGAAAATATCAAAATCATTCAAAATCTTGAACCATATCGTCAAACATGGGTGACATAAACCACCACATCCCACCAAAATTCATGGTTTAAACTCACCACCAGGCCTGCAGGTGTGTGTCGACCTAAGACCTGCCAAGGAAGGGGAAGATCGCGAAGATTGTCAAACAGTAAATTTAGTTGGATTAAGCGGATTTATCAGGGATTTAGGTGATTTAAGGTTGATTTAGATATAATGGGATGTACAGATCTGTACAGTATATCATATGGGATCGCCAGCAATCATAGCTATGGACAGTATGAGTGAAGGTTTGAAGTGTTGGTAACAATAGATTGACCGGTCAGTTCTACTAGGGAACCACCGTGGTTCTCTGGTTGCTCCCCAAAAGATACTTCCTTTGGAACTGCAGGAACAAATCCAAGCATTGACTGAGGACATGAGTCAAGAAGAACCTCCTCAAATTCTGCTGCAATCTATGATGGCTACACTAACGGACAGGTTTCCCACCCTTCAATTCCTTCCAATCGTAGTCCCTGTCTGCCAATGCACATCCAATCGGTATTGATGTAGCAGCCAAGACATTGCTGTTTGCAAATGTGTCTAAAACTGCAAGGAATAGGAACCGCCGTTGACGAACTTGGGAAAATTCAACACAAAGTAAAGATCCTGTCAGTTCCGTGCCTTAGCACATTCAGACGGTCCAAGAATATGTTTCAAATTCAAGACACCGTTGACGTTCTATTTGGCACCTTGATTTCTGGGAGGGCCCATCATTTGGAAACCACCGATTGCCAAATGGCCCCAAACTCCCTGTGATTGTTCTTGAAGCATCTCCAAATGCTTCCATATTAATATTTACAGTATAATTAAGTTTAATACATATATATATAGTATATATATATATATAATATTATGTATACATTGTTAACTGGGCTATATCCACATGAGTATTGCGACGAGTCCCATCGTGGGATCCTGTGCCTTCCACAGCCCGGACACGTCCAACTTTGGCGGAGGAACTGCAGGAACCGGTCCAAGTTCCGTGTCTCAGCGCCGGACAACGGGTGATAGAAACCACTTCAATCACCAGTGTATATATGTTGTATATATATATATAGAGATATATATTAAAGGTTTCCCCACAAAAAATGGAAAGTTTGATACCTATTGTTTTTGGTGATGATCATGTTCTTTTCGTGGTTCATTTAATGAGAACATCATCTACATCATCTACATGGTGGGTTTTCCGTTGCCGTGTTTGATCACCTGAGGGTATATGGTCGGCGTTTTGAAACCATACAATTTTGGGTGGCATCACCCCAATCAGTTCCGGTGGCCAGTGCAACTTGAGATCTTTACAATTTGTCCAGACAGTTATTGGCTATATCAGGCTATATCCCATGTGTTCATATTTTCCCCTTCTGTTGCTTTGCGCTTTACCATGCAAACTCCCTACAACTAGATGAAACTAGCACTGAAAGTCATGAAGTCCATATGGGTGTCCATACATGGATTATGAGATAGAGATAGCATATATAAGTATTGCCCATATACAAACTGGCAGTCTCAAGAAGTTTTACATCTTGTTAATCATTGGATGTTAGGGTCATGCGATTGGTATATAGCATTTCTGCGAACACCAACTAGTGATAGTTGTTTGTATGCCTCATAACAAATAGAACTATATATATATATACAATACATATATATATATTTACAACTCTATGTATATTGTATATATATATTATGTATAATAGATATATATATATATACAGGTTCAACATGGTTCAGCCGTGTATAATGTACAATATATATATATAAGCCACCACTCAACAGATCCTGCTCCACCACGCTGACTTCCCACCTGCTGCTGCAACCTGCTTCGCTTTCAAGGAGGAGTTCCGTGCTGGCGCGAGGCACAAGGGTCAGCACGAATCAATGGGTTTCAACCCATGGTTTTCAAAGGGGCAACAGCCTATACACAAAAAACAAGAACAAATCCAGAAACTGCATAGGCCATCATATGCCCAGCATAATATCATATAATCTGAAAGTCGAGTCTAAGCTACATTAAACATATGGCCTAATTTGACCATCCCCATGAGCATTGCGGCAACATCGCGGAATAGCGATCATTCCAAAGGATCCTTCATGAGGCCGAGATATCCAAAGCGCTTCCAAATATGTACATCTATGTATAATTATAATATTATATATATATATGTACACAACGTATATATATATATATCCAAGTAAATAAACATACATAATAAACAAATAATGCAAATTCGTCGTTGGCCTACATGTTCATTGCATGTTCTTTTCAGATTTTTCAGCACCCCGATGCGATGTTTCAGAAAGAAGGATTTTGCCCAAGAGGTCTCCAAACCCATCTGAGGTTTCCAAGCATTTCCAAAACGGTTGATTGAAAAATGCCATTCTTTGTGGAAGATGTGGACAAACGTGGATATTTCAGATAATCATATGAAACGCGCAGCTTTTCACTCGAAGAAAAACCTCGTAGATGGCACAAATGGCGCAAATGTTAAAACAAATTGGGTGGTCCATGCAAACATAGGTCCTGTCATATTTACGTATGTCTACAAATGTCATTATATGCGGATAGATCAATACCCACCAAAATATGTATGAGTATGAAAATATGATAAAATATGTACAATAATCCCATTCTCATCATATGAACAGGACGGCATACCCCCCGCATCATCTCCGCGGTGCCTTGCGCATTGCGTTTGGGCTGCGCCGACTTTCGACGTGCGGTGCCTGGGGGATGATGCCCTTTGGCTGCAAGGAACACCATGGGAAAAAATGAAGGTTTCAATACGTTTCACCACAATACTTGTAAGCGTAGAATATGAATATGTACATGTTTGATCATGTTTGCATCAAATCAATATCATAGATTGTTTTAATAATGTTTTAATTGTATATTATGTGTTTTATTTTAAAAAAAAACACAAGTGACTAGTCTGGGTTGATGTCCAGTCATGACACATCTGACCAGTCAGGGTTTGCCAAAGCAAGGGCCCTGGCCATGGTGAAAAAGCCCGCGGGGGAACGGGACAGTCGTGAACCAGACTGTTGGATGAACCAAAATCACGAAATGACAAATCAACAGCCTGGATTATATATATATAATATTTATATAGTGTGTATATATATATAAATAATATGGATTATATAATATATAAATGGTGACTAATAATGATAGTAAATCAACATTAGTTATGTTATCAAACCCAGCCATTGGTTATATATATATAATAATATACATATTTGGTGACTAACATATGTAATCTGGGCCCTGTTCTGAATGGGAAGAGCACCGAGCCACAAGAATCAGAACTAAGCAAAAGATGTTGGGATGATTCCCCTGACTTTCCACAATCAATGATGAGGTTGTGATGTCACTATTATGACTTGCCCAGAATGGTGATATAACCCAAGGTCTATCACATTGACATGGCTTACAGTAGATACCATTCAATAAGCTCAAGAACTTTAGCTGGCTTTTTATACTGTCCTCCATTTCGAGAGCCACCAAATCAAAAGTTTACCATGTGAAGATAGAAAGATAGATAGATAGATAGGTAGATAGATAGATAGATAGGTAGATAGATAGATAGATAGGTAGATAGATAGATGGATGGATGGATAACTGGATAGATCAATCGATAGATCGATAGATGGATAGATCGATAGATCGATAGATGGATAGATGGATAGATGGATAGATGGATGGATAGATGGATAGGATAGGATAGGATAGGATAGGATAGAATAGAATAGAATAGAATAGAATAGAATAGGAATAGAATAGAATAGGAATAGAATAGAATAGAATAGAATTAGAATAGAATAGAATAGAACTGAATTAGAATAGAATAGAATAGAATAGGAATAGAATAGAATAGAATTAGAATAGAATAGAATAGAACTGAATTAGAATAGAATAGACTAGAATAGAATAGAATAGAATGATAGATCGATAGATAGATAGATAGATATAGATAATTATCAAAATAATATGATAATATAATAGTATTATATAATAGCATATGAATAATTATTAGTTGAATAGGGAACTGGTATGATGTGGTACCTTCGATATTCCATTCGTATCCGCGGGTTTCCTCGCCACCAAGCGGCTATCCACGGTTGTGCCACGGAAGTCGGGTTTGCCTTTCAGCAAGACCTTTGGCAAACGGACACGAAGGAGGCACAGCAAGAGCTGGGAAGAATTGGGAAGATCATGATGGCTTTATAATAACCCATGGCATTCTTATATATTCTTATTGGGAATGTGATGATTAAGCCTGATTAAGCATGATATTTACTCAATATTGAGACGTGCGCAAATTCCTTTCATTCTCGGAGAGAAGGCACCGGAGCAACCCTGTATGGATCCCAAATGTTTCAAACCACACCTGTTCGCCTCCTATGGTCCTATGGGATGTTGTTTGAGAAGAAAAAAATGCTCACAAACAGCATCTGGGGTCTGAGGACCCCCAAATTCGACGGTCGATTCTCAGTGCTGTCACTATTGAAATGGCCCTTTTGGGGGGTATAACACCAACACCCGGTGCCCTGAAGAAGTGCCCTTTTCACCAACCGTTTTCGGAGCCTGCATCCGCAAGTCCTGCTTGGGAATTCCAGTCCTCCACAATGGAAGCAGAATGGCGGCAAGCACTTTGGGCTATGAGGCTGACCCCTTACCATCCGAAAAAAAGGCTTCCTGCAAGTTTTCCACCCAGAAACGAGTCTGTGAACCAGACTGAAAACGATAAGGTCTTCATTGTGTCACTTTGTGTCCATGATTTGGGTCAAATTCTGAGGCCTTTCACAAAAAACATAATCTTACTCTTCAGGGTCCAGTATCCAGCAGGGTCCAGGTCACAAATTGTCTGGTCAGTTTAGCTGCCCAGCTGCCTTTCCGCCAGAATTTCTAAAGCCACTTCAAATTGCACCACATCAATGGTCCTGGTGCCTGGCGGATGGTGACCTTTGAAGGAAGCCACCAGGATGAATTGTGTAGAATGGGACTTGGATGTCTCTTGCAGAATTTTTCTGGACCCAGGTTTCAACCCAAAGCATGTCGTCGTGGGCTGATTATAGTCGGTGGATATGTTACATAACTCAGATTCACTAAGTAACTAAGGCACCCATCAAACCCATTCAAATTTAAGAAATATCTCTATCATTGAAAGCAAGAACAAAGGAATGTTCGGCCAACAATCAGCGGGTCCCTAACATTGGGATCCAATTTTATACCAATGTTGGACGATTTTGGGTCCCCCATTTGAAGAAACCCCATAGGAATTCAAACAAATTGGAAATTAATCCGGATACAACATGAATGATACAACTGAAGTGCAACTCAGACAACCATCGGAGCCTCGCCTTTCTTTTTGACGCGGGTGTCACAGAAAATGAGATCCACCTGTGCACTATTCATCTTTGGATCCAGTAGTTGACAATCCTGGCGATGTCAGCAAAGGAGTACTGCTGATTTCCGGCACAAGAGATGGTTCCACAGAAGTTCCACATCACAAACCCGGTTCAACATGGTTCAACCGGTTCTGCAGCTCAGGAAAAAAAAACACAACAGATTTTCAATGCAGGAACAGACTTGAAAATGCCGTGGCTCTGGAAGAGGGTTGCACAGATGTAGCCCCCAAACACTGGTTCGAACCGCGGCAAGTTTTGTGTTCCGGTCTTTTGTTGACATAAATTCATTGATCGGTACGTACGGTCTTTTGTTCATTGTAGAACCATAACTTTTAGGTCCATTTCTTCTATGCCTTTAGAAAGTAGCAGCCCGAAGTCAAACAAAAAGTTATGAACACTGATGCTACTTAGCGAGACTATAAAAGAGAATGCACGCATTCAACTGTCATGTGAATCTGGAAAATCCAAAGCACACCCAACAGCATAAAACATGAAATCACAAAAGTCTTACGAACTCAAACATCCAATAATTTCTAGCTCTGAAGCCCAAATACACTCCAGCTAGTGACTTTAGTGCTTGGGTCAAAGCCCCAGTACAATCCCCGATGTTCACCTGCCCATCTCATTTTGACGGGGCCTCACAGAGCTTGAAAAAACTCTTCCCATCCAGCTCCGCTTTCCCAGCCCCACCTGGGTGAGTCTCAAAGCTGCGGGATCAATGGAGATTCACCAGCCCAAAGTGGGCATCACCAAATATCACCAACCCTCCAAGGCTGGGGATCTCAACAGCGGAAACCAGTAGAACATAGTAGAACCAACAAATCCTGGGCACGAGGAATTCTGACCCCTTCGGAACCATCCCAATTCTCCAAGCATTCAATAGCCATCAATAGCCATCAATAGCCATCAATAGCCATCAATAGCCATCAATAGCCATCAATAGCCATCAATAGCCCAATTTTCAATTTCACCGCGATCCAGGCAAGTTATAGCAGCACCATACCAAGCCACAAAAGTTGTAGAAGACAGCTTCCAGGCCATCGCTATCGCTGGGAGCGAGGATGGCTTTCGCCTTCTCGATTTCTCCTCATGCCAGTGGGACAGGCCAATGTCCAGTGGAGGACACGCAAGTCGATGAAGCACTTACAACAATTTGCGTGGCTAAATGATGCTAAATGGCCATCATGGGCTTTGGGTTCTTCCCCAATTTATGGGGGTTACAACATGTTACAACCCTAGCTATACCCATGAAAATCACCCCAACTGACCCCAGCCCCATCGCAGTGCCAGGTGTCTCGTGCCCATGCCGTTCTTGATCCAGCTGCGAAACTCTGCGTAGGAAATGTGACGGTCCTTCGACTTGTCCAGATCAGCGCCTGGGGATCCAAGAAATCCAAGAAGAGCGCAGGGGTAAATTATACATTAGTAATTTACTAATCTGAAACAAGGGCTATTTTGGGAGAGTTACACTAAGCATCCAGTTCTAAGAGTTGGATATGAAAACACTGTCGCTGATTGTCACGCATTGGAGGCAATGAATCAGCTCCTGTTTCCCGACATATTGAGCATACACACCCAACTTCTGGATAGAGATGGTACCCGAAACCTCACGAAGAGTTCTGTATATCTACGTCATGAGTCCTTAGTTCCATATTCCCTCTATGATTTGCAACATATTTTGTTGCACTTCCCCAATTATTGGGGGTACAATAGCTTTTCCTCTAGATGTGGCCATGTCTATATCTTCAGCTGTCCTTGTTCAATGATACTGCGCAAGCTCGTGCAATGTGGTAAACCTTCATTTTTGGATGTTGATACCATCCATTTATTTTAAACTCGAGGTACTTTAAGATGCGTACAGTAATTGTATGTAATTGTTGGGTGTCCCACCTACAAAAAAACATTGGCTCTATGGGTGTGTCTGAAAATGATTGGACCCCAAAATGGCCGTTTCACTTGCCTCGTCAGCTACGGAATGACCCATGTGAAAATGGCCATTTGATAATGAGTAGTACACCTCCGTCTGCCACAAAAATTGGGGTAGAACATCATTAATGATAAGATTAATGATTAGTTTACCCCCCATTCTATGGAATAATTGTTCGATTAAGTGGGTACTTATATCACGAACAATGATAATTCATGATAGATTGATGAAAATGATTCTGTGGGATAATAATGATGATGATAATTTCCCATAGAATCATGATCATCAATGATGATAATGATAATCATAATAACATATAATAATACTGATGATAATTGGGTACTAGTGATAACAATGATCATTCAAGAAAGAGCATTATTATGGTTCTATATCATAATGATATATTCATGATAGATTTATAGATATATGGTAATAATGATGATTCTGTATCATAATATCCCATATAATAGTAATAATAATGATGATAATAATAAATGGATTATAGATTCTATTGGGATATTATTATGATACACTAATAGATAGATATATATATATATATGCATACTATGATTAATGAATATCATTATTAGATAATATACAGTATATATATATTTACAAATAGGTATATATATACTATGATTCTATTGAGATATCATTATTACACTGATATATCATGATATATCAGTGTATATTAGATAATAATGATACACCAATTGGCTTCATCTCCAGTGACTCCAGTGATTCCCCCTTTTTTGTACCAAAGCTGCAGACGTTCCGCACTTCCTCGGCCGTCAGGGAGCCCAGGTTCTTCAACGCGTTGGACATGGCCTGGGAGTGGCGTCCCTGTGCGAAGGTTGGGAGACATTGGGGTAAGCCAATGATATGATTCGAAATTGGCACAAAACAATTATAATATAATCAACCGGGGAAGTATTACTGCAATAACAATTCTTTGTTCGGGTAGTAGTTCATGAAACATTAGTCAATCCTCATGGTGAAGGTATTGGGGCAGTATTGATCAATTGGGTATGTTGGGTATAGTTCAACAATATTCAATACTACTACGTATATATACGCGTATATCGGCAAATGCCTGGGTTTTGCCCGGACCCGCAATGACAACAGGCGACGCAGCATCATCATCATCATCATCATCATCATCAGAATTAAACCCTTATTGAAGATCTTCAATGAATGTAGAAGTTTAACGGGGTGGTGAGAATTAAACCCTTATTGAAGATATTCAATGAATGTAGAAATGAATGTAGAAGTTTAACGGGGTGTGAAGAATTAAACTCTTATTGAAGATCTTCAATGAATGTAGAAATGAATGTAGAAGTTTAACGGGGTGTGAAGAATTAAACCCTTATTGAAGATCTTCAATGAATGTAGAAGTTTAACGGGGTGGGGAGAATTAAACCCTTATTGAAGATCTTCAATGAATGTAGAAATGAATGTAGAAGTTTAACGGGGTGTGGAGAATTAAAACTTATTGAAGATCTTCAATGAATGTAAGGTTTAACGGGGGTGGGAGTTCAATATGCCCTAGTACCTTTGTTGATCTTCCCAATTGAATGTAAAGTTTAACGGGGGTGTGATTTTTATATTCCCTAGTACCTTTGTTGTTTTTTTCCCATAGGAATTTAAGGTTTAACGGGAGTAACTGTTTAATATTCCCTAGTACCTTTGTTGATCTTCCCAATTGAATGTAAAGTTTAACGGGGGTGGGAGTTTAATATTCCCTAGTACCTTTGTTGTTTTTCCCATAGGAATTTAAGGTTTAACGGGGTGGGAGTTTTATATTTCCTAGTACCTTTGTTGTTTTTCTCATAGGAATTTTGTGAAGTTGCATCAGCATTTGTTTGGGAATTGCAAACCTCTACGCTGCAACGCCTGGGCAAAACCCAGGCGTTGCGCGTATACATACAATCAAAATCACGTGTAACATCTTGTAACAATAATAGGGTAGTTTCAACAATTAACAGGTACTGCCAACAATTTGGCTGGTTACCCTCTCAACGCAACCAAGACTGAGTTTCGTAAGATAAAATCCTAATAAAGATCAAGACTTGGATTGTTGAAAATGACCACACTGTGTGAAATGGTTGATAACGTACAATAATCAAGGCCAAGCCAACAATTTGAAAGTTTAAACAATCCAAAACCATCAAACTGGGTTTATCGGTGCAGAGGATTTACTGCGATTTTTTGTGGGGTCAACACTGAATAACCATGCAGAACTTTTTGTTGTTCACATCACAACATGTTCACGTCTGGGATGTTACCGGGCAAGGCTACTCGGGCGGAATTCAAATGGCTCCAACGAATTTGGGGGTTTCACAAGTGATATGTTTAGTGGCGCTAATCGACCTTCAATTGGCTAGCTAAATGGCGGATATGATATGTCGATCTTGAAAGATATGAGCCAACTGGAAACGTCATCAAGAAATGAGGTTGGAAAGTGATGGTTGAGATAATAAGGGTATGGGTTAAAAAAAAAAAAAACAGGTGGCGCAAATTTTCCCACAGTCATGAATACTGGAACCGTTAAACATCCAAGGCATTCCGTATCCAAGACTTTTGGTGACCCAATTGACCCTATACCCCGCATCCTGCAGCCCGGCCACATCCAAGTCCATGAGACCGCTGTTGTCAATGTCGTAGGTCTGAAAGGCTTTCCTGACGTCGAAGAAATGGGTGCGCCCTGGCTGATAGGATCATTGGATAGTCATGGATATATGGGGGTTTCCATAAATGGGGGTACTCCAAAATGGGTGGCTTATACGCGAAAATCATATTAAGATGGATGATTTAGGGGGTACCCCTATTTCAGGAAACCTCCATCTATGGATATCTATGGATATCTATGGGCAATATGACCATGAACATGAACATTGACCCACAATGACTATCAGATTCCCTGCCTCGGAGGGAGGGGGGGCATTTTGAAACAACATGTTTGGGTCTGGAAAGATATTGGACATATACTACCCCTAAATCCATTGGTGAAAACCACCTGTTTCCGATTCAAATGGCCATTTTGGAGTCACCATTGTTGCAACCAGTTCTTGGAGATTGTACTGTGGATGACCCAAATGAACCACGGGATTTGGATGGATTTGGGTGTGTTCCAATCACTTTCAGGCAAAACTTTAAAACAAACTTAAATTTTAAGTACTTCCACTCAATGATAAAGTTTTTTTGGCCCAGAATTCTGGGGATTAGATATCGCCCAATTTAGCGGCTTCTAACCATAGGATCCATAGGGATAGCCGCGGATAGCCATTTTTTCACAGCCCAACTTGGTCCTGATCCGCTGCTCCCATCGGATGCCGGTGGTGGCTAAGATCTCCTGAGGTCCATGGCAATCCGCATCCGCGAACCCAGCCCTCGTCACTACTCGTCAGCTCGTCTGAGCTCGCTACAGTTCATACAGCTAATATTTAGACCATATCAGATCATAGAAGATAATATCAGATATAGAATCATATCCATTAATCTCCCATGAAGTATTCCCATTATAGTGCCATTTGATGGTGACCAATTTGGTTTCCCCGGCACGGCAATGGCGGCACAGGCCACGGCGGCCTTCTTGACATCCAGTGCTTTTTCGCTGCCCTTCTTTAGCCACGTCATGAACTCCATGCGGCTCACACGGTGATCACCCCCTGCGGGTCGATTGAAACAATGCCACCCCAAGCTACATGGGTTGGTTCAGAAAAATGGGAGATCCCCATGAAATATCGTGAAATACTATGAAAGATCCTGAAGCATTATAAAGTTCCAATAGGAAAGATGATTATATATTGCTTTTTTTCAGCAGTAGATTTCTAGCAATTACACTACATCGTGTCAAATATTGCTTTGAAGGTGTTGGCACCTTATCCAAAATCCACAGTACCGTGTTTGCTGAAGCTGAAAAATTGGGTTGGAAGTGATCATCCCATCATTGAATTCCTGCTCATTGTTGGCTTGTGGCAAAATCTATCTGTGAATTTATACTTAAAATTGACAGATATATCAACCTTAGAATAGTAATTCACCAACCTGAAAAAGGTCGACCATTTAGGCAAAACTCCCCTTGGGTATTAACTAGTATTGAGCCTCATTCCAGTGACTCATGTCAAACTGACGATGCTCCTCTGTCCAACTCTTTCATCAGGGCAGCGATGTCTTTGAAGGTGAGCGCAGGTTTCAGCACTCGAAAGACCCCCGCCATCCTTGGCCCGCGCAGGAAGCTGGCCGGTGGAGATATGGGAATATGACTGGAAATCATGTCGATATACTGCTGATATACTGGTGATACAATGGAAAAAATCAACATTAATCAACAATATACAGTACCTGGATAAATGACAATTGTTCACTATATAACCTTTTGTGCGATAGCTACCTCAATCGTAGCATTCTTCCAGGGTCATATCAGTGAGTCCCTTTCGGTGGAATGCTGGACACGGCACAGGGATCACAGCGATTTTAAGTAGAGGGGCACAGACGCAACGGTGGATACCCTCTGGTGAACTAACATAGCAATGGAAAATGGCCATTTATAGTGATTTTTCCCATGAAAAATGGTGATTTTCCATTGCTATGTTAGTTCACCAGAGGATAATTCAAAGTTAGATCTTTCTTTCTGACATTCTGACCCACTCGTTCAACTAGTTGCCGTTGTCCTGCATGCTAAATAGTTTTACTATGTTGTGCTGAAGTACTTTTGCCATCAGTTTTTGCTTCACATGCAGTCAGTATTCATTGTCAACTTTAAAGCTTCCATAATGCCTAGTCACAAATTGCGGCCAGAAGCGTCACTGGTCGCTAGGGGGCCATCTTTGGTGCAATTCAACACATACTGTGTTTCATTTGGAACATGTGCAGCTGGGAGTAGGTAAACTCTTTCAAAAAAATAGCAGGAGCAGAAACACTTACAGTAGCAGTAGCACAGCATGATTTTCTTGTGGCAAGTGACAGGTGACTGACGACGCATGTCGAGACAGTCGAGGCTTGTAATTCCTCTTCTTGAGATTTGGCTTGTTGATGCTAGTTGCACCATACAGTAGTACACTGAAAAAAGAATGCTTCAGGTTTCCTCGAGTCTGTACTCGCGCCTTTTTCTGTGCAATGTTACCTTATCTCTCAGCTGTACTCTGTTCCTTGGTCTTCTGTTTATCCTTGGTTCTTCGTTCCTTCCCTTGTGTTTGTGTGAACCTGTGTTGATGGGCATGATTGAGCTTAGAATAGCGAAGGATGATATGAATTCCCTACCTCTGTCTACTGGTCCTGTCCTGAGTTGCTAACCCTGTGTGTTGACACAATTGAACTTGGGTGGACCAAGGATGATTCGAATTGCAGCTTAGCGTATGACCACCTGTGCCATCCTGTGCCTATGTTTTCGGTCCCCCATTTTCCACCTTGTGCCTTTGGGAGGTGTCATACTGGATGTGATTTGGGGGGGTTTATGTTCTGCTAAGCTTTTGGTTTTGCGTTGTTTACTTGGCCTGTACAGTATCACTGAGGTTTCAACCAAAAAACATACTATTTCGGGGGTCCTATTCCAATCCACATGTATAAAGTGTATAATTACGACTATATCTATGTACAATTACACACTTAGCGATGGGTCAAAACCTTGGTACAAAACGGTGAACATCGAAATAGCATGAAATAGCTGTTGTTTGTGGGTGTTGCTCAGTTCTAAGGCATTCCCAGCTATGTCCAAGACTAAGGTTTTAAAAAAAAAAAAAAACAATTTCAATGGATTATCATCATGTTCAATATTACAATGGCCATAAGATGTGGGGATTGACCCGATTTTCATACACACCCACTTAGCATTTTGTTGCTTATAAACCCGGTTATGTTGCCCTTATATTATATCTCCACTTGCATTTGATTTTCCCAACTTATTAGATCCCCATCATCCATAAAGTAAATCCCTGCCTTCATGGTAAATGTTGCATCGTATCACATAATTGTTGGTTATACATGCCATGAACTATCCCAATTATTTGTCCCCATCGACAAATCCCCAGGTGCTCGTCCACATCCAACGTGCCACTGCCGTCCTGGAAAACAACAAAAAACGTGCAATTATATAATTATATATATATACATATGGTCATGTACAACATAGTATGATTAATATATATATATATATATAATTGTAAATGTATGTCATTTATACCATGATTTACATGCACATACATTCAATGTCTCACATATATATATATATATTACAAAAACATGTTGCCAAGCTAATACATGTTGCCAAGCTAATACATGTTGCCAAGCTAATACATGTTGCCAAGCTAATACATGTTGCCAAGCTAATGTATTACGTGAATAGATATGTATACATATATATATATATTATTATATTATATTATATTATATTATATCATATTATATTATATTATATTATATTATATATGTACATATCACATCAGTAAGGTTTCGGCTGAAGCGACCCCACGAAACGCTCAGCCACCTTAGCGGCTGCTGGCCATAGCCGCGGGCGACCCTGGACTTTGTGTTCAGAGCGCCTTCTGGACCCCGGCTTGTGCTCTGTGGACACTGGGCTGGTCCACAACACCATTGCTTTCACAGTTCCTGTTCCTCGTTGGTGAACTTTGAGGACCTTGTGAACTTTGACATCGAGCACCTGGATCTGTCTCTCTCGAGTCCCAGCTCGTTAAACCTGGGTCAGTGGCTGCCGTTTAATTGGCCCACTGTTACACTGGTGGCCTGCATTCTACAAGTTGACCTTTGTCCTTGTATATTGCTCCCATCTCTGTATTCCCTGATCTTTATGTTCTTCACGGTCTTGCTCTACACGATCCTCTTGAACTTTGTGCATCATTACGCCTACGCAAAGGAGGAGTGCTCGGCGCCAAAGGGCAATTGCTCGACGCCGCTGGTATCTGCATCGCACTGGCAGAGTTCCATTGGACAGAACGCAACTCGAATCCCTTTTTTGGAAACTTCGAGCCCATCACAGCAGAGATCTCCTGTTTCTCAGCAAGATCAAAGTAGCCATGGCATCCTTCGACGACCCATGGCGTTGCAGATTCTGCATGAGGATGGTGAGTCCGACAGCCGACACCTGCGGTGGATGCTGGGGAACGTGGACAATGTGCAACGATCCCACCTATGTGCACAAGCGACCGCAAAGACGGGTACGCCAAGCACAGGAAGCTCACTCCTATCAAGACTATACAGAGGATTGGTCAGGAACCCCATGGAGCACATCAGACAGCTCATGGCGACAGACCAGCAAGTCCCCAAGGAGAAGAACCCAATCGCCACGTCAGAGGAATGTCAACAGACGGGCCAAATCCAGAAGATCACAATGGCAACAAGAGCCCCCAGAACCTGCCAAAGGCAAAGGTCACGAGAAGGGCAAACAACAAGGAAAAGGAGGAGCAGCGGCATTTGGGCACTTGCCACCCTCCACTACATGGATTTCACCGCCAGCGGCACCCTTCCCTGCCGAGACATCGACAGCATCTACGGTGACAGCCACGGGAACAGCAATGCAGCCATTTGGCAAGCCAAGAGTGGAGAAGGAGGACGCAGAGCTGTTAGCACTCCGTCACCTGCATTCACAAATCCGTGGACAAGCTGGCGAACAATCCGAGGAGATCAAGAAGGCGCTCGCAGTCATCGATGCGAACACCCGCAAAGACGACGCAAGGAGCTACAAACAGTTGATCTACCTCTTGACACAGGCCCGCAAGAAGCTTTCAGACATCGAAGAGCAGTGGGACTCCTTCCGGTCACAATGGTCGGAGTACCTAGACAGTGCTACAAAGATGTGGACGGCCCACATCGATTCCTACGAAGAGGGGGAACAGAAGTTCTCCGAGAAGCGACGAGAAGCAGCACTGTACTTGCAGTACATCAGAACACAGCTTCACAATGTACATGTGAAAACAATGTCTGTGGAAGGCACCATTCCCTCCGGCGAGCTCCAGGAAGGACAAACAGCGCTCGATGCCACTATGACCATCACAGATGTCGAGGACTCCATTGCAGAGCCGCAGCTTGCCCAGTTGAAGACGGATCTGAAAGGTGTTGTTCAGAAAGTCAAGGATACCATCGAGGAAAAGATGACCAAGCGATCACTGGCAGCACGCGCCTCAGATGGAGACGACGTCAAGGTGATCGAGCCAGTCGACAAGAAGCAGCGGGATTCCAGTTAGCCCTGACCCTTCAAGCGTCTGCGGAGGCCAGCTTGCCAGATTGCCCTGCAACTGACAGCTGGAAAGGCGAAGGGCGAACAGAACGACGAACGAAGTTTCGTCGTTTGACCTTTTGGCCGACAGTTGAAGCTGTCTCCCAACGAGGTCAGGTACATTATGAAGTTTGCAACCTGCTTGCCAACGCTGACACAGAGGTGATGCTGGTCCAGAACGCAAATCAATGTGGGTTTATTGAATGCGCTCAACCTCCACTACACTCGATTATCATGGAGGAGGACTACATCAATCCCTGGAATGCCCAGATCCGAGCACTTTGGCTTGAACATTCGATTCGTTCACCAGTTTTGGCTCCACATCTTGATGGCCTATTTTTTGAGCATTTTCTCAACGATCAACGCCATCCAGTCCCAGTAGCTGACTTACTTGCTCTGGGGATTTTGAAGCAGTGCAGGCCAGATCAGGGAGAAGTTCCAAATCTACCAGATCCGCCTGCGCACACAGATGCACCACCACCGGGGCATGGACATGATGGCGCGCACACGCCGAGTCAGCCATTGCACAGGTATCCAGCCTGGGTGCAAGAATCATGGGAGCTCCTTCAAAGAGAAGGTGCCACAGAGCTCTTAGAAGAGGGCCCCATCATGTATTTGGACTCCTTCTTCATTAGCCATGTGAATCATCCACGGCAGACCCTGAATCGACCAGTTCGCCTTGACCGACATTATGAGGAGTGGGGAGAGACCATCAAGGACGTCTGGACAGACTTCTTTGACAGAAATGCAGATTTTGAAGTATTTCTGATTCAACCAAATCCTCCGACTCCGGTCACCAGAGGCACAATTGCGAGTCTTCTTGTTGTTCAACACCCACAACGACATCATGCAGCGGTGCTGACAACGGCCCTCATTGATGACATTGCCGGCTATCGCATCGAACAAGTGGCACATTCAATCCGCGATCGAGTGTCTCATCAACAAATTCTGAGACAAGCTGGGCTTCTACCTGAATGTATCGAGATCCGACGACAAGGACTCGACCCCTGCATAATTCGAGCAGGATCACATGTATTTCCTCCAGATCAGGAAATCCGACTTCATGATGGCCTTGGTTTGACAATTGATGTTCCCATGATCATTGATGAGGCCCGATGGCAACGATTTGTCATGCCACGGCTACGAGAAATTCAACAAGATGGACGGCCCTTTGCAGAACCAGATGCTACTAGCTTCATGGCACGCAGGCCACAACCACGACGTGCTGATAGCAGCATGTCAGTGTCATCACGTACATCCACAAGCTCTGACATTTCCTCGTACTCTGCAGAGTCGCCAGTGAACTGGAAACGTGCAGTTGTCTATGCTTTGGATGGTCAGACTCATTCAGTATTGCTGCCTTGGAGAGAAGGAGAAGAGCTGTACAGGAGAGTTGCGGTTGCATTTGGGATACCCTCGAGCTCAATACTGCAGCTACATCATGTTGGCTTTCGACCTGGAGACCTTGAACAAATGGAGCTTCAAGCCCTCCTATTACAACAACATCATGAAGCACGACCAGCGCCAAATTTGCAACTCATTCTTTTGGATCTGGAGATTCATGAGGACAATCCCATACTGCCAGGAATTTTCCGCAGAAAAGCACATTGGGCACCAAAGACCACAACCATTGACACCTTGTTTCGTGTGTTAGGACTTACCTCTACATATCGACAGTATGCCGATGAGAGCCACCTCTGGCTCAACAACATCCGCATTGATCTGCAGAGGAACACACCACTACACATCACTGACGGCGATTACGTCGAAATCTACATTGGTGATTTAGAATGCCGAGACACTCTCCACAGTGCCAGCGAAGAGGAAGATGAAACACACAATCTTCTTCAAGTATCACTACATAGTGCAAGTGAAGAAGTACCACAAACCTTCCTTCAAGCCTCCAGTGCACAAACGCACAAGATTTCGGATCAACAACAACAACATGTCTCAGGCATTGATGCGTGCCACCCGGGCGAGTGGCGTCGCCATGCACGTGGCCAACGACAGAGACAGCCAGAAGAGATTGATCCAGAACACAGGATGAGACGTAACATATGGAATCGACCAGAACTCCAACAACTTGGTCTACACAATGAACCGATCATGGTTTTTGACACATGGTTCATCAGTGCACTCAACTTCCCTCGATGCTCTACCTCCAGGACCATAGCACTTCCTGCTGATGTTGCACAATGGGACGACAGGCTACAGCAAATTTGGCGTGACCGAGTCCACCCACACTGGCCTTTGGAAGTCTTCCATGTATATCCAGATCCACGTCCAGCCCCACATCTCCGGCATGGTGGTCACCTGATCGTGCTCCAACATGGACATCCTGGTGAAAAAGCGGTACTACTCAGTAGTTATCATGGAAGCCTCCAAGATCGCTTTGCTCAACTGGTCCCAAGGGAATTAGACTTCGACAGATTTCTATGGTTTCAAGATCATGAAAATCTTTGCGATCAAGTGCGTCATATTTGTGATGGATTTCATGGTGATGTTTCCATTCCAAGACATGCCATCTGGCAATGTGAACATGGACAACACCTTGAACTTCATATGCGTGAACGTACTTCAGATGAGGCCACCCTCATGCAGATGCCCGTCAAAGGACCGGGACCACACACACATGCAGTGGACATGCCTGCAGCGACCAATGAATGTGGGCACTTTGATTTCAATCCCAATGCTGCAGCCTTCTTCCCGGACCAACCGTCTATCTTTGGACAACCTGAATACATCCAAGATTTGCAATTGGCGTGGCAATTCAGCGCCTTTGCCTGGGAAGAAGAGGAGGCATCTATTGTTGTCGCGGTTTGGTTCGTTGAT